AATAGTTACTTGCGCACTATCCAAAATCCCAATGCATATTTAAAAATATTTAAAATTGGGGCTGATGTGTACTATAGTCATTGCTTTTTAAGTATGCATAGAGATTTGGGATAGTGTGCAAGTAACTATTTTCTTCGTATGTATTGGGGCTGATCTGTACTATAGTCATTGCTGCCGCCAAGGAGTAGTGGGAGTCTGAGCGCACAACTTATTTTTGTGTATTTGTACAAACAGTAAACAAGTGGGCTCAATAGACTTCATCTACTGTGAGTAATGTCAACCTGTTTTACTTGTGTGTATAGTGTTGCTGTGTGTGCAATATCAGTGTGTGTATGTTAGTGTGGGCAATGTGAGTACATATATGTTGTTGTTCTTGAGTTTGTGTGTGTGCTTTTTAAGACATCTTAACTGCCAGTTGAATCTTATCTTTTAGTTAGATGATACTCCAACAAGCAATTTCAGAACATCTTGCTCTGGAGGATCTACCAGGGCATAAAGGCTGAAGACGTACCTACACCCAGCGGCTCATTGTGTATCGAATGCCTTGTATTTGAATAGTACAGTGGCAAGACCTGGGTAAGAAAATCCTTTGCAGTTTCTTATGATACTGTATCATCTGTAGTGACAGTTACCCACCCAGATGTTCAATAAAATCCCTCGGACCTTCTACTTCTCACATACCTTTGTCATACGATACACTTAAAGAATAAAGTTTTGGTCAAGAGAATTATTTTTAACAAGTAAACCAAGGCTGACCGATTGCCAGCAGTCGATTTACTTTATCGTGAAGTCACACTCTCAGCTTATCTAAATATTTTTTTTATTTGTATCTCTATGATTAAGCATTGTGGGGCATCCCGACGTCGCCAAAACTTACAAAAAAAAAAAACAGCTGTTCATTTATCCTGATAATTAATCCCTGTTAGCACATTAATTGCTTTGTTCTAACTGCAGTGCTCAGTTCTTTTATCTTGCAAAACTCAGTGTTGCCAAATCTTTTCTTTTTCCAAATTAATTCAAGCACTTTAATTCCGCTAAGTGTCATTTCTTCTCTGTGTGTGGAACCCTTCCTTCGTAAATTGGACACTCAATAAATCTTCACATCCACCACCATGTCTGGTTTCCTTGGACTCTGTAGAAGAGACAGATACATTCGATCTGAATAAAATCTGTTTATCTCTGACATCATGTTTACAGAAGACTGCCGTCCCATTCAATAAACTTTGTATCACCAGCCGCCTTTCCATTCACCTTAACTGCTCTTGGGTTAATAATGTGAGCCTTTGTGTTCTCAAGAAATATACAAGTGTGTGTTTGTATTTATGTGCAGTTATTTTTGCTCGCTGGACCAATGTAGCATTGGAGTTCTCGTGATAAAATGACAAGTGGGCCAAAGTGGTCAGATAATTAGCATTTGTTTTCCTGATTATTATACACTGATCAGCCACAGCATTAAAACCACTGATAGGTGACGTTATTAAAAGCAAAAAGATCTGAGTGACTTTGACAAGAATCAAATAGTGATGGCTAGATGACTGGGTCATGGGATCTCCAAAACTGCAAGTCTTGTGGGGTATTTCCGGTATGCAGGGGTTAGTACCTTCTAAAAGTGGTGCAAGGAAGGACAACCGATGAACTGGCACCAGGGTCATAGGATCCCAAGGCTTACTGATGCATGTGGAGCGAGAAGGCTTGCCCGTCTGGTCTGATCACACAGAAGAGTTATTGTAGATTAAACTGATGAAAATGTAATGCTCACCATGATATAAAGGTGTCAGAACAAACAGTGCAGTGCACGTTGCTGCCTTCAGTGGGCACATGAGTGTTTAAATGGACCATGAAGCAATGGAAGTAGGTTGCCTGGTTGGTCCAATTAATTCAATTTTCTTTTAGATTAGGTTGATGGCCGTGTGCGTGTGTGTGATTTACCTAGGTAAGAAATGGCAGCAGGATACACTATGGGAAGGAGGCAGGTTGGTGGAGGCACTGTTTTGGGCAATGTTCTGCTGGGAAACCTTGAGTACTGCCATTCATATGGATGCTACCTTGACATGTACTACCTACCTAAAGATTATTGCAGACCACGAATACCCCCTCATGGAAATGGTGTTCTCTGATGGCAGTGGCCTCTTTCAGCAGGATAATGTACCCTGCCACTCTGCAAAAATTGTTCAGGAAGAGTTTGTGGAACATGGCAAAGTTCAAGGTGTTGCCTTGGCCTTCAAATTCCCCAGATCTCAATCTAATTGATCGTATGTGTGATGTACTGGAACAACAAATCCGATCCATGGAGGCCCCAACTCGCAACTTGCAGGACCTAAAGAATCTGCTGCCAATGTCATGGTGCCAGATACGACAGGACATGTTCAGAGGTCTTGTGGAGTCCATACCTCAATACATGAGAACTTTTTTAGAAGCACGAGGGGGACCTCAACAATATTAGACAGGTGGTTATCTCATGTTGTCATGGTGGTCTTGCTCTTTTAAGATATAACCTATTTGAAAACATGCATGAAAAATGCAGACATATATTAATTGTGGGTATATCTACTAAACAGTGGTAATTTTTTAATAGTTAATTTAGAAGCCCCTATTAACCATTAGGAAGTGAGGACCAATGCTGGTCCTGGGTGATGTGCAATAACATTAAGTTACACTGGTAAACACACAGTAATTTATATGTAAAAAGTGATACCAAATTAAATTTTCTTGACACCATGCCAACTGGCTTTCACTCCCTAAGCTGGATTTAAATACATGTCCACATTCTCAGGGATGATACATTTAGGAATTAACTGATTTATCATTGACCATCATTGTCTAAATTTCATCCTTGCCCACAGCAATGAGTGAGCTAGAGGATTGGTACACAGAGAACACTACCTCTACTAAACTTTCAAAATCATTTATTGATTAGCATATTTGTCAAAGAGTATGGAATTGAGCACCGATTCACTTTTTTTTCATTACCTGCCGTTATTTTCTTTTAATTTTGCGTCAATTTATTTGTTGTGGTGGCCACTTACAAATTAGCATAATTTAGTTGGCAACATACTAATTTATGAAGGTAGTTAGATTATAGGTGCAATAAAACATTTTATTCGGATAGGTAAGTAGGTTTATAGATAGAAACTGTAAGTTTAGTTTTATGGCTACTATCTGCTGAGTCTTTGCGTGTTTATAAATACTCGGTTTGCAATACCTGTTTAAGCATGAAGGTTGAAGAGTAGATTCCTGGAAGGACCACGTCTCATCTTCTGAGGCAAATATAACAATATCTGGGTAATTTCATGGTGAAATGATAAACTACCCCTTATCATACAGGATAAATAAATCTTCCGAAATATATTGGGAAAGTTCCAAATCTGACCCTGAAACCGATGTTTCAAAATTCTCATGGTTAAAGCACTTAATTGCAAATTGTTGGGAATTCAAAGCAAATTTCACATTTAGGCTCAAATAGCCAGATGAAAAAAATGTAACTGTTTTTGCAATTTGGCTATTTGGGACTAGAATTCATAGTTTAGAACACGACCGTGGTGCTTCTTTTTTTTATTTTTCATTGTAATGACCACATGATGACATACATATTTTGCAAATAAATTGTCATCTTGCTATTCACAGCATCCCACGAGATTCGCAGCTTGGCCTTATCTACAAAAACATTAGGATGTGAGAAAACAATAATCTATGATGAAATGCCTTTTCTATTATTTTTTGACCTGCATTAATTCTGATTAAATTCTCCCCTGAGGAATGAGGGATCTCTTTCGCCTTACCCTATCTATTCTCAGCAGCTAATGAAGCTCCCTCAGCTACAGACAGTGAACATCTAGCTGGACCTCCATCCAGCAGGTTACAGGTTACACAATTTAAACTGTTCCATGAATTTGTAATTATAAGTCCATGTTTGAGAGGGATTAGCATCTGAGCAAAAAACAGTATTTCAATTAGGGAGAGAAATTCAATTTCATTGTAATCAGCGCTCAGCAGCCAGAGTGACAATGTTATACATCTCATTGGCTTTTCTTTTTCTAATTATTATTAAGTTTTAAGTGGTGCAAAAACTGGCTATCACTGTCTAATGGCCTAAAGAACTGTAACAAAATAAAATAAAAGAGGAATCATTCCAAACATAAATAAGAAAATATAGAGGACTAGGCCAACCGCTAATGTCACTGATGATGCAAAAAACATGTAAGAAACTGTGAAGTCGCAAAACCAAAACGTATGTAATGTGAAAATGTAATGTGTATACCTTGTACTTTTTTGAATTGTGACAACCTTTGTACCACAAGGAAGAAATCAATAAAAACAATATATATATATATAAAAAGAAATATATAGAGGATTACAGACAGAATTTACTAATTTTGGAGCTGTTAATTCCAAAATATATGGAACTGAAAAAAAAAAATCTAATTAAAAAATTTAAAATCTTTGCTCAAAATTAACAAATTGAGAGGTTCACAAAACTCATTTATGGGTACTTTATGGGCAAAGCAAGGATTCCTGGTAGATGAATTACAAGTCATGAAATCTTGTACAGGTGTATTCTTGGAGCAAAAAGTGAAACACTGCAGTTTGGAAGGAAAGGGCAGAAATGTTGGACACGTGGAGCTAAATTAATTATTAAAATAAATATGCATAATGTAGTGTGTGGTATACATAGGGAAAGACTTACGTTTTGAAGTACATGCTTATTCTTCACACTTGATAAAAATAGAACCGAACCATTTTTGCGTAATTGAAATCAATGGTTTGATAACTATCTACACATGAAACACTGCCGGTAAGACATTAATTAATGTCAAGGCAATCACAATTTCATTGTTCCGATTGCAATTTTATCATTATATGATTGGTGTAAAATGACCCTGTACCTTACATTAAATACATAAATCTTTAGCGATCCCAAATCTTCTTAAGAGTGTTTATTGTCATTTTAATGAAGCCATCAGGCACTTAGAATATACAGTAGCTAAAAAGACTTGATGAACTACTGAAACATTTCATTACATGTTTTTGAACAATTATCCAACGCACCCCCAAGTGTTCGCACGTGAGCAGAGCTAACACCACAACCACTTGTGGTTGATCACATCTGGAAGCAAAGTCATCAAACCTTTAAGGATTCATCAATAGTTAATTGAGGCAAATAATACACAAATAAACACTGTACAAACAACATCACGTAGAAAAATAGATACAACAAATACATATGCACACATGCTTAAAGAAATATACATGCATGTCCATGTGGATTTGGAACACGTGGATTTGGAACACAACACGTTAATGACACACATCACCCATTATCACCAGTGATGCACTATGAAAGGGGTTTGACAAAAAGGTCAGTTATAATTTGTGTGTTGGTAACCTCGCAATCTTGGACTATCGATCTCAAGTTCAACCCAGTTTTAAGTCGAACAATTTTCTAACTTTGAGGTCATTCCCGGCAGAAAAAGGTTGTGACATTTTTTGGCTGTGACCATGTTGGAGACATTAAACAGGATACTGGCAGGAAGTCATATTGTAATGTATCCTTAAATTGGGTAATAATTACTTTTAGACCCCAGGATGTACTTGGAATCTTGTGAAAGTGTGTACTTTGTTCTTTGTGGTTTTGGGCTAATGGAACATATTGCAGTTCATATGTGGCTGAAACTTTAGAACAGATTCACGTTAATTGGCTTCTGCACATTCTAAAACCTGCTTAAATGATTGGCATTTTATACATAAAGTCACATTGCACCTGACCCCTTACAAATAAAGGGAAGCCCCAATTTTCACACAACCTATGTGCCAAGGAATATGGATTACACTTATGGTGTGGGTGGGCTTGGCAATGACCGTCTGTTTCAGAACTAACAGTGCCCACCTTCCATTTCACGCAGGCTTTGCTGAGCCCACAGGAGGAAAAGAATGTTGAGCGCCTATTAGATAAATTATACCATCTCCGTTTTGCCACACCATGCCCCTCAACATATTAATTGTGCCAACTTCTCTATTCTGAAATACCATGCCAGGGACGCCTATCCCCCAGTGTAATCATTATGCTAGTTCTTCTCTCTCCATACCATGTCAGAAGATGCCCAGAGTCATGGCATAATCATAGCCTATCTCTCCTCACACCATGCCAGTGGATGCCAAGCCCATAGAATTAACTAGTACCAACCCCCACTAGCTATGATGGCAAGCAATGCCCGGTAATAAATAAAGTCTTTGTCTCTCCTCTATTCTACAAAGGACCACGACATGCAAATATTTTTGTATTTCTATAAGATCGGATGGTGGAGTTCATCTTTGATTTCCCCATTTATCAGATGTTGGTAGCGTCTTTTGGATGTGGTTAAACATAGCTAACAGTTATTACTGTTATCAGATTCTTCAGGTCCCACGTGGGATCAACCACAAAGGTGTCTTTGAAAATACCTGCAGCTGTAGCTCCCCCTGCTGGTTCTGAAACACATGGAGATAACTGTAAGACAACCTGCTGGCTTCTCTCTTTTTCATCCAGAACTTCCTTCATCAGTGAGTAAAATGTAGGAATAGCCAAACATTATATTTACTGAGAAACGATTAACCAGGATACACATTCAACAGATAGCTAATAACATGATAACAGATCTAATACCCGAATTTACTCTTGCCTCGATAAAATATAAAATTGAACTATACGGTATGATACTATTTTTCAGCTATTAAGCAATTCAATGTTTCTTATGTTGTAAAACAATAATTCCCAGGAGGCACCTAACTTGTCCCTGCTTGGATGCTCATTTTGAATCGCCTTTCTCAAAGACATGACCCAATTCAGGAAATCCTACGGCTTCAGTTATGAGGATTTCCTTAGTATGTGATTCATCATTATTTTTACGATAACAGCCAAGTAACGTCTTTAGTTTAGTGTTATTCATGTCTTTTTTTTTTTTGGGGCAATTTATATTTCTATTCAGATGATAGCTTAAACCAAATGAAAGAGGTTACCAGCATATATCTGTATAACAATAAAAATTATACATTGTAGTAAATATAAGCTGAGCTCACACATAGAAAACATTTCATTTGATGAGTAAAATAAGAAAATGTAGGATTCGCACGTAGTAAAAGGTTATAACACATAATGTCAGAGACACAAACTCTGCTTCCTACAACTCCACCAGTAACTACTGTCTTGTGTTATGAATATCTTGACCACTGTCTCATCTCACGGTCAATTCCAGAGACATCATACATAGTGATCATAGCCTGGCAGCTTCGTCAATCCCAGATACTGCCGTCCTCTAAGAAATATCCCAGTCTAGGAGCACCATCCCATGCACAACCCAATATTTCTGCTGCCCTTACACCTGCAGTACTGTGTCTAAAAAACATATCCCGATGTATCAAAAAGAAGTGGAATGTTGCACTCTTACTGAGATCCCGGTGCTACTAGACCTGGGCTGGCTACCCCTACCGTAATAGTTGAACTAAATTTTGGTCCAGGCACTCAATGATCTATTATACAGCAGATTTATTTGGAAAAAAGTGAAATGTTTATATCTCTCAGAGATCGAAACGTTGCACTTTCCCCCAAATAAATCTGCTGTATAATCAACCCCTGAGTGCCTAGACCACAATTTTGTTAAAAGACATATCCCGACAGATAGAAACATAGAATGTGACGGCAGAATAGAACCATTCGGCCAATTTAGTCTGCCCAATTTTCTAAATTGGCACTGCCACCTTAACAAGCCCTCCTATGATGCCATAACTGGTCTTTTCTCTTCTCCCTGGTAGTGGGAGGTCACGGAGGACTACAAAAACCCCAAACTACTAAAATGAAATGTGTACTAACGAGATCAAGTGCTAATTTGTCTACTCATCGTCTGGTGGATGTTCTTGTCCAGGAAGCTATGAAGAGATCATCTAAAATAAACAGAGATTGACAGGTTAATCCAACCTGATGGATCCTTGTGAGTGATTTCAGTAAGATTGACTTCTTTGCTTAGTAAAAAAGGAATTTGCAAACAGAGGATGAGATTAGCCTCATTATAGTATGGGATTATTTCTCTGCCCAGTCTGAAAACAAGTTTGTTAGTTACTAATTAATCCTGAAAAATAAACAATTTAAGGTGAACTTTTTTTTTTTTATCAGGACTGGCTGCAATGCTTCATTAAAAATAGTAACAAGCAGAACAATATGGAGATAGAGATAGCAAGAGGAGGTCTGGGTGTCTAATCAAGGTTATTTTAACTTTTCGATTGCTGTGTGGACAATTTGTTTCCGATGCCCTTTACTAGAGAACAATGAAGGAATAAAGAGGTGTCTGTCAACATTCACTCTATGGGAGGGCATTTAAAAAGGACTGTAAGAACGTATGATTTTTGTATAAGTGACTGTGCGAGAAGCTCTTTGTCCCTATTTCCCTGAGTACAGCAAAAAAAAAGAAAATTTAATTTTTTTTGTTTGTTTAGTTGATAATTATGTTGATGGCACATAGGACTGCTAAATTAGATAGCTATTTACTAAACAGCTGAAAGATCAAAATGAGGAAATCTTTTCTTAATTTGTATCTTTCATCTGCTTAGTAGATAGCTCATTAAATGGGTATGCTTGTGATGATGAACTTTCTCCATAGAGATGCATTGATTCAATGCATCTCTATGAGGAGATGGTGATTGGCCAGGGCGGTGTTTGGCTCTTCCACCCGCCCTGCATCCTTGACTGAGATCATCACAATTGACGATCTCAGCCAATCCAGTGCTTTCCTATGGGATTATCAATTCTGATGATATCAGCCAATGGAGCGGGGTGTAGGGGAGCAAGTGATGGCAGACCAGCTTGGCCCTGGAAAGGTGAGTTTATATATATATCTATATCTACATCTCTCTCTCTCTCTCTCTCTCTCTATATATATATATATATATATATATATATATATACACATATATAAAAGGAATCAAATTACATTAATTTGTTAATGAGTGAATTTCGTAACATTCATATTCCCAATCGTATATTGGTCATTCTGATTTAATTAATGACTGAATTGCATCCATCCAGTTATTCTGGACTCAATTGATTTGGTTATTTGGCGTTTCGGTTCTTTGTTATTCAGATGAATTGCTGAATCGGCCAATTCTGTTCGTCCGAATAAGAATTTTAACAGACTCTCTCGGTAACACCTGAAAATGACAAAGATCATAGCTTTACTCTACACACTATAGCAAAACAATTGTGCTGCAGTTCTGTTCACATATGCAATACCTCCCAACATTTCAAACAGACACAACAAACAAAGACTGTCCTGGAAAATTGTAGGTGACTTACTAACAACAATTTATACAGCTAAAAATTTAATTAAGAACAAGATCAATGTACTTTATTTACACAGAATGATTTCTAAACACATTTATTGTAGTTTAAAAACACATTACTGGGAGTATTATTACTGTGGAGCTCTGTTATACACTCAGACACATTACTGGGAGTATTATTACTGTGGAGCTCTGTTATACACTCAGACACATTACAAGGAGTATTTTTGCTGTGGGGCTCTGTTATACACTCAGACACATTACTGGGAGTATTATTGCTGTGGAGCTCTGTTATACACTCACACACATTACTGGGAGTATTATTACTGTTGAGCTCTGTTATACACTCAGAGACATTACTGGGAGTATTATTGCTGTGGAGCTCTGTTATACACTCAGACACATTACTGGGAGTATTATTGCTGTGGAGCTCTGTTATACACTCAGACACACCAAAAATATGGATCTCCTAGAAAAGAGGGTCATTATCATTCAAAACACGGACAGATGGATTTGGTCCCAAAATAAAGATTGCTCCTCCTAAATAGGGACACTTGGAAGCTATACATGACAAACAGTATACACAGCAACCTTCTCTCTATTGACTTCTTCAAAAGCTAAAAACACTTTAGAAATGTTTAAAAAAATAAAATGAACCTTATAAGGAAGCTGACGCTATTTAGAATCATTAGAGAATCCATTATTCAGTATTTCGTACCTACTTGCCTTTTTGCTCTAAACGTCCACTAAAAGAGCATCTTCGTAACTCTCACCAGTGGAAAACAATACGTGAGGCTCATCTCTTCATCAAGACCATCTGTTCCTCATCCATCATTTTCTCATCCTTTTCTGACTGCAGTTTCCTCCAACAATTTCTCCTCTATTGATATATCGTTTCTAATTTATATTGTATCTATATTTTGCGAGTAAATATTTTCCAATGTTTTTGATGATTTTTAAAGTTTTGCGGCTTCCTGTAGGACAGTGATTTGTAACGTTCCCACCCAGCATTACAGGAATTAGGAAAGCATCTATTTCGGTGTTTTTCAACCAGTGAGCTTTGACACAACGGTGTGCCACAAACCACTTCAAAGTGTTAGTGTAGCATCTATACACTGTAGGGCTATAAAAAGCTAAATGCAGACTCCTTAAATGGTGTTTTAAGAAGTGCCACTAATAAAACTACATTCCTATCTGGCAATTAATTGCAATTAATAAGTCGACTTGGCTAGGATGATGCATAGCTCTCTTGTAAGGCTCCAAGTAAATGTAATTTTGTATCAGGTAAAAAGTAAAAACATAGGTAGGCTTTGGAAAATGTTCTTGGTCCAAGAAAGGTTGGGAAGCACTGCCGTAGAATACCAACGTTCACCATCACTGCTTTAGAACAAATAAATAAAGTTTTGTTTGAATTTAATTTTTTTATAGGATATATTACATAAAGAACACTCATATGCAAAAATTGAAAAACAAACAAAACTATTTTTAATAATATGAGTAGCTTTTACACTGGTCTCCCTTTAAAACAAAACATTAAAATCACCAACAAACTTAACGTTATTCCAGCTCTAGCACAGACTCCTCATTGCTGCCAGACCCACTTTTTGTGCAGTCATTATTATTATTTTATTATTTATATAACGCCATCAGATTCCATAGCGCTGTACAATGTGATTAATCCTAATGACTTTTGCTGAATCAGATGTTTGTAGTAGAAAAGCAACAATTGGCCGCAATCAGGTTTTTTTCTATGAGAAGCACTGAATCTAAAGCTAATTCTATAGAACATTGGGTACACTCAGCGCACTTTACACAGGAGGACGGGATGCCTAGTAGATTGAAATATTGAACCTGTTTGTGTTGGGAGCTCCTAGCCAGTGTCTGTCTGAAAGCCAATAGTAGGAATGCAAATTGCATTATTGAAAAGTGCAATTTTTCAGAAACAGCACAGTTTTAATGACTACACAAAAAAACTAAACCCCATCGCGCCCAATAAACAGACAGACACAATCTTCAATTGAGTACGGAATCCACAGATTTTACTAATGTGCATGACTTACTAGCAAACCAAAACAAATGACCACCGGCCAGCTGCCGGGTGAGGACTGCACACACATAACCTTAACATCTGACCAAGAGTCCGGAGCATACGGCAATCCGCCATCAGTCTCCCTGCACAACGCAACGTCCCAGGCCCAAATCAGTTCAATCTTCTTCTGTGAGCCGCTAAGCTGTCAAGGAGCATCACTACTGTGACAAAACAAAGAATAAAGACAAAATACACCAGACATTTTGAAATACATATCAAAACACGGGTGGGAAGGAACGAAAATCAGATCATCTTAGCTCAACCTTCCTGCCGACCTTGTAAAAACATCCCCACCTCTATCTTTATATTCACTCGCTAAACTTTTTCAACAATGTATCCACTGCCCCCTTGGCTAGGTCCTCAGCTGTGTCCTGCAGTCATGATCCCCCTTCCCAAAGTGTCCTGGGGGATATCTTTAGCAAGGCTGCTGGGGCAGCATCTACTTTCCAAAATCCCTTTATTAAGAAGCAGTGATTTTGGTGCTAAGAGTGTCCCTTTAACACAAACATTCCTACAGACCATCATGCAAAATTGCAACATACAGGAAACATGGCTTTTAACTGTTTCTGAATCGTTTTAAACGTCCGAAAGTGGCCCAGAGCTATTTTTGCCCATGTCTAGAGGATATATTGTGCTCTGAAAGACCTGCTCCAGTTTGTAATATAACAGAGTGAATTGTTACTTCTAGTTTTCAATATAATTCTCTGAAAGGTCGCTTTGCCTGTAATGTATTTTTTGTGTGTGTGTGAGAGAGAAGGCAAATTATCTGTGTAACCAGTTTGGTCCCTCCCAAATCCCAGAGAGGTGTATCCAAACCCTCTTCAGGTTTAGCATTAACTTCTCGGGAATGTTTCCTTGTATTCCAGAACAATGTGATGCCTCTCTTCATTTCTGACTTGCACAGGGGACATCGAAGGGATCACTCGGTGACAATGCTTTCTCTAAAACATACAGTCATTCTCCTGACTACCCTGGGACAGGTGTACGGCCAGTCAGGTATGTTACATGATCGCACCTTTTACTAAGCAGGGAGAGAGAATTGTGATGAACTGGCAAACACGAGTTAGGCCAAAATATGTGAATAGAAGTAAATGGAAGAATGCTTATTTTTTGTCTACAATTTTGTTTGACATTTTACATATTTGTCTCCGATACCCCACAAATAGTTGTTTACAAAATTTTCAAAAAGGGCAAAAGGTCAATTTTTTCCAGAGCCTGTTCAGAATCTCAGAGCTAAAACACTAGAACGTAACTCAGGGTTTTTCGCATCTTAATAAATATCCTCTGTCCAATAACTGATATGATTGCAAATTTTAGACTTAAAGGGACACTATAGTCACCCAGATCACTGCAGCTCAATGAAGTGGTCTGGGTGCCAGGTTCCCCAGGTTTTAACCCTGCAGCTGTAAACATAGCAGTTTCAGCTGCTATGGGTGGTTTGAATGTGTGCGCAGCTCTGGCCTTGCATGCGCATTCGGCTGCACTCGGGAGCTGACGTTGGAGGGGGAGGAGAGGTCACCAGCACTGATGGAGCCCAGTGCTGGATTAAGGTAAGTGGCTGAAGGGGTTTTATCCCCTTCAGCCCAGCGGGAGGGGGGGCCCTGAGGGTGGGGGGACCTAAGGACTACATAGTGCCAGGAAAACGAGTTTGTTTTCCTGGAACTATAGTGCTCCTTTAAATAGCTTAACTGCATAAACGACTGTGATTTTATTTCTAGTCCAGGTGTTCATGTGATATGTAGAAAATGTTTGCAGTCAGAAACGACTTGCAGATGTGCTCTGTTTTACATACCATACAGGTGTAAAGACAAAAAATGTATTAACTCTAAAAGGGACACAAACATCTGTAAAGCTCTTGCTGTACAGATGTGTGTGTCCCTTTAATGGTTACATGTTCCCATGTTGGTCCACTGCTCTGTGATCCAATGAAGCAGCAAATCTTCTGCTAAAAGTGATGTCATATAACTTATGTTTAGTGATTTGACGCGTCCATGAAAGTGAAATGCACATTACTTTTACATTTACTTTTACATACAAGCGCAGGATTATTTGTGTTCCATATTCCATCATGGGTTTAATTTCCAATCACTCTCAGCCAGTCTTTGAAGACTGGAGTTTATTTCTTTAGCAGGTTATGTATTAAATATAGGCTACATTTTTAGAAGGGGGGAGGAGGGGGGGAAGGTCTGATTTTAAATTAAGAACAAAGAGAGCTTTGATACTTAGCGTGTCTGTTGTGTAATGAAAGCTATGCTGACAGATGATTACTCAGTACTTATTATTAACTGTACCTTCCCCAGAATTGTCAGCTGCCTCACCAGGGTTCATCTGTAACTACAACCTTGCAGAGTTCCATACAGAGAGATGCTGGGTTCACATAAACCTGTTGAGAGAATACTTAGTTATCAGTTTTAAAATCAGCTTTAAACAGGATCTTAAAGTTTCTCATCATATAGTGAATGTGTATTTGTATTTGTCGGATATATACGTTTTACTCAGACAGTGCTTTTTTTTAATGGTTGGATCCTAACCACCGATATGGTTCTATAAATTCACACATTTACCACTTTCTTCTATAATATTTTTTTGCTCCGATTCTGTTTAAAATCTGACATTTCTCGTAACTTTCTCTAAAATATCCTTTATTTATCGTCTCTATACTTGAAGAATTAGATTGAACATTTTAGAGTCAGAGGATTTGGGCAATGAGAAGGAACCTGCCATAAAATGTTTTAAAATATTGCTAATTGAGCTTGGATATTTACAATAATATTATTATTACATTGTATTATTGTTTTTATAACACTATTTCAGTGTTAATAAGGACTCTCACAGTTTAACAAATGTTATCAGCATATCTATGGTACGGTTCCCAATGGCTTCCAGGTACCTCTGCTGATCCCCACACTTAGCGTTTAGATGATCGGTGTGTAGTGCACAGCATGTAACAAGTCAATTTTAACATTTGATGGGATAGTTTTAATAAATTCAGTTAAAAAAATTTAACGTTACTACGCTAGCAATATTGCATACAGCTAAGCGCATCAATTTCTGCATCAATGCATGTCTGCTCCAAGAACTCCATGTAACCATTTGTAAGAGCACTTGGTACCTGTGTGAGGAGAGGTGAGCTGCTCCACAAATCTTGGGTAGGTCTGGTATATATACATAAAACATTGTTTGCAGGCTCACCCAGGGTACAATTTGTAGCTTCTCATGTAGACCTAAGCTGTGTTGAGTATCCAATAGTTGATGGAGTCAATCCATTAGCTTTAGAGAATGCGCCATGAGGTTTTCTGTTAAATAATCCCTTCTTCTAAATGGGGTGCAGCCCTATTTAAATGCAAATTTGTGTTGGTGAACTACAGTGTCCCACTAACCCGGAGTCTATGATTAAATAAATACAAAAATAAATAAAAAACATTTACTAAATGTGGATGGTGTATGCTGTTTAGAGATACAGTCTCTATCTTTAATTCATTGGGAATTACCTTCTTCATGTCCTGGCAAGCCAGCTAGCGTGAAGTCATGCCACCCAGAACAATACAGCATGAATTCATAATGACACACCTGGTCTTCTAGTGCCAGTAAGGTACCACTCCCAGGAAAAATAATGCTTTCACTAAACCCACAAAACAGAGCTTCTGAGAGCACATGTGAATGCCATAGCCTGCTCAGTGTACCATGAATACTTTGTCTTTTGTGAGATAGAATGTGATGGTCTTTATGTAAGAAGCGATTCCTTCTTTAACAAGCATTCGCCGCCTGTACGTCGGCCACTGGTATTACATTTCGCCCGAGTTTATTTATTTAGCTGCTGTATTATCAATTAACAATGGACAACTCATGCACCCTCCTTGTTTTGGCAATACAGCGCACAGTGATGCCATCAATGGTTGCACTAGACTGTGGCAGCAAGACACTGCACCTACAACTTTTTGCTTGTTTGTGAAATTAAATTGTGAATTTCAAATTTAAGGTCAAAACAGCCAAACTGGAAAAAGTCACTGTCAGCTGGGCTTTCAGTTTGGCTGCTCTGGCCATAAATTTTAAATTCGTTTTGAATTCTCACTTTAGTGAATATCCCTGTTTGAATTCTAGACAATTCTTACTTTGTTAATTCACAGTTATTGTTGACTGAATAACGCTGTAAGTGTTGCTGCAGAACGCTCCTTATCCAGAGTGGTTATTATACTTAATGCTTTGAAAAATCGATCAATTTATGCTCTCAGTGAACGGGAGGAGGATATCAACTCGTTATATCTTTCGTAGGGGCAGTTATTCACTAAACAGTGAGTTGAAGTGAAATAAAACCAACTTGCCAGATTCTAAGTCAAAATAGTAAGTTGGGAGGAAATACCCAATTTGACCGATTTGGAGTTTCCCCCCAATTTTTTATTAAATTTTGCATGTCTGTTTAGTGAATTAAACCCATTGTTTTTTAAGCTAAAACGTCAGGACCAAATAGACTGATTTGTTAGCTGATGTGATAATGCTCTGGTTCTTTTACAGGTTACACCGATGCCAGGACGATACCGCAGTGGCTGACGGGACTGATCGCAGTGGCCGTGTTTCTCTGCCTGGTCCTTGGGGTTTACTTGGTAAACCGAATGTGGAATAAAAGAACACAGTGAGTTTCTAGAACACTCTCTGTTCGACTTTTAACCCCTTGAGGACACATGCCATGTGTGACATGTCATGATTCCCTTTTATTCCAGACGTTTGGTCCTTAAGGGGTTAAATGGGGTAAGCAACCTTCAGCACTCTGGATCCACAATATCTGGAGTGCCAAAGATTGCTCATAATATAGATAGAAATATATGTTAACACCCGGAGGATTCTATTGTTCCAAAGCCAAAAGTATCCTTTTCACCAAAAAAGAGGATTTTTTTTATCTTAGGGAAAAATTGCTACTTATATCTAAAATCACATGCATAGAACATAGAGGCTCTGCTCATTGAAACTAATTTACCTTTGACACCAACATTAGCAGTGATCTTAAAAAGGGGAACTAAAATGCTAATGCTAGAATATTTTTATATATTATTAGATGAATCTGTAATGACTTTAGCCCTGTAGTGTTTTATCCTCTTGAGCCTATTTAATGAACAGTGCCTCCTCTAAGCAATGCACATCGGGCAGCTGCCACTGATCCAAACAGTTAGACAGACCAACTGACACAGCAGCTCACACTGGGGAGAACACAGCAGCTCACACTGGAGGGAACACAACAGCTCACACTGGAGGGAACACAGCAACCAGGGCCGGACTGGGGATACGAAGCAGCCCTGGAAAAAAAATCTATGCCAGCCCCATAAGCCATTGTGCTATGTAGGATGTAGGGTGTGTATATATATATATATATATATATATATATATATATATATGCAATTGAAATAGTTGGTTGCACTCTCGGATTTCCTGAAAATGTAACTTTTATTGAAATATTTAAGAGAAGATCAATGTTTCAGTCCCTCTTGTGGACTTTCGTCATGATCCTGATGCAAGTCCACAAGAGGGACTGAAACGTTGATCTTCTCTTAAATATTTCAATAAAAGTAAAATTTTAAGGAAATCCGAGAGTGCAGCCAACTATTTCAATTGCCTATATATATACTGGAGCCCTGGTGATGCAACAGTATATATATATTTTTTTTTATTGATACATTTCTTCTAATTCAAAATATTAGTTCTTTTAGGGTAATTAAATTATACAGTAAAGCATACTCACACACAGACAGACAATCTTACTGATGCACACAAATAGGCTCATTGACAGACAATGACACACACAGACAAGGTTACTGGCACACACACAACTTTAGTACAGACAAACTCTGATACACACACACAAGCTTACTATAGACAAGCTCACTGTCACACACACACGCTCACTACAGAAAGCTCACTGATGCGCACACACTCTCCCTACAGACAAGCCCATTGACACACACGCTCCCTACAGAAGAGCTCACTAACACACAGATTCACTACAGACAAGCTCACTGACACACACATGCTCACTACAGACAAGCTCACTGACACACATATGGTCACTACAGACAAGCTTACGATCACACTCATGCTTACTACAGACAAGCTCACTGTACACACATGCTCACCACCGACAGGCTCCGACACACCCATGCTCCTTACAGACAAGCTCACTAACACACATACAAGCTCACTCACTAGCAGGCACACACACACACACACACAAACTCGCAGGCACACACACACACAGAGGCTCCCTCACTAGCAGATGCGCGCACACACACACACCCAGAGGCAGGCAGTCACTGACACCCAGGCAGACAGCCACACACACACACACAGGCAGTCACTGACAATCAGGCAGACAGTCACACACACACACAGGCAGACAGTCACACACACACAGGCAGACAGTCACACACACACAGGCAGACAGTCACACACACAGTCACACTCACACAGACAGTCACACACACACAGTCACACAGACAGTCACACACTCACACAGACAGTCACACAGACAGTCACACACTCACACAGACAGTCACACACTCACACAGACAGTCACACACTCTCACAGACAGTCACACACACACAGACACAGACAGTCACACACACACAGACACAGACAGTCACACACTCACACACTGACCTGCTTCTTCCCTCCTGCTTGGAGCTCCTGGAGGCTGGTTGTTGGGGAGGCAGGAACTCCTTCCTGCTTCCCATGCTGCAGTCAGCCAGGCCCCCGCCGCACGCTAAGCTCCGCCCCGCCGCACGCTAAGCTCCGCCCCTGCCACACGTAAGCCCCACCCCGCCGCTAATTTATTTTTATTTTTCTCATCCCCGCCGTCCATGTGTGAGCTGTGCCGGCCGCTTGGCTCCCCCTGCTCCCATGGGGCTCTGTGCGGCCGCACAGCTCACACATGGCCGGCCGGGATTACAGGGCTGCATAGGAGCTGTCAGCTCAATGATCAGGGCTGTCAGACCGGCCCCAGATGCCGCGGCCCACCGGGAAATTTCCCGGTATCCCGGTGGGCCAGTCCGGCCCTGACAGCAGCTCACACTGGGGGGAACACATCAGCTCACACTGGGGGGGACACGTCTGGAGGATGCCCCAGTATTTTACTCTAAAAGGATATTATCATTAATGTACAAAGTATCAAAAATGTATATATATTATGAGATAAAGTGGTCCATCTCTTATTAGTTCTATTACTGTGAGTTAAAGAACTTTCCCAAATCAATAATTTTTGCCTAAATTATGCAATGTTTAGGTTTTACATTCACTCGAATTTGATGTTTAGTGAATAAGCCCCAGCTCATTCTATAACCTTTGTAGCATGGCATGACCCAATGGTAGAATTAGGCAAGGGGTAGCGGGTCATATCTATGATGACTATTTTAAACATCCCTTGTGGTATTTACCAGTCTGTACCTAGACCTAGAAACATAGAAGGTTTTAAAAGGACACTAAGGCTGTAGGTTACCCTCATTTTAGTACATTTCTAAAGCTTTGCCTCATTTTGAAGCTTTATCTTGTCATGTTGGGGGGTGGGACGATTAGTTGTTTGCTTAAGATAAACTGAATATTGTTCTCAGTGTTTACATTAATGCTCGTGTGTGTTTCCAGGAATAACCTGCAATCAGAAACAACCGGGAAATCTCTAGAATGTGAAGAAACCATCCCCAATGGCACATACACGCGATACGTCGAACACAGTCCCAAGTGGGTATAAATACAGGCAGCAGGGAAAGAGTGCTGTAAGAAAAAAATCAGTCTAGCTTTTTCATAATTATCACAAGACCTCATTAATTAAAAAAGTAATTATCCATTTTCAAACACCAAAGGTCTCGATGGCAGGCCCGCTTGGCACCTAAGGCTTCAGCGATCAGAGATGTTTTGCTGCAGACTTTTTTTTCTTGTCGCCATGGGTGGGGATAAATTAGCTCCTCCTCTTGTCACACAGCTTTTTTATTTGCAAAGCATTCTTTATAATAGATACAAAGAAAGAGTAGTCCCAGCTGGGGGGAGACTCAATGCTGATATGTGTGCATAAGTAGAGCAAAATAATACTTAACAGCTAAATAGCTTCCTTCCGAGTTCTCTAATGTATTGGAGGGTCTAATGCCCCACAGCTTGAAAATGTTCCCACATGTATCCAAAATGGCTAATCACTTTATATATAACAAAGTACAATGTGGTCTATCGCTGGGTGGCAAAAATAAAAACGAATGAAATAAATAAAAAGCCACAGTCTGCTCTATCTCCGTCAAAATAGTCTCAAGCAGCAATAAAGACCTATCTGGTGGGTCTATAACCTAATCATTGCTGCTAAGACCAACATTTTCAAGCTGTGGGGCATTAGACCCTCCAATACATTAGAGAACTCGGAAGGAAGCTATTTAGCTGTTAAGTATTATTTTGTTCTACTTATGCACACATATCAGCATTGAGTCTCCCCCTAGCTTTGTATCTATTATATTATATTCTCAGGGTCCAAGCCCGTAGGTGGAGCTGATACCACTATGTTGACCTGGTCTCTAGTCCAACCAGTTTGGATGTAGAGGCAAACTTTCTTTTGCTTTTCACAAAGCATTCTTTATATGAGAGTGTATAAAGCAGTATAGGAGGAAAACCTACACCTATAAGTGGAGCGCTGAAAGGATGAGGAGGTACACTTGATAGCAAGCTTGGTATATAGTACTTTTGAAAAGAAACAAAAAAAAACGCAATATAGTGCAGCTGGTACGTCACAATAAAATCAGATAAAATGGTGGTGAAGTGGAACACTCACATTTAAAGGAGCCTGTCTGTGAAAACTGGCTCCGTAATAAGGCTTGTATGCTTTGAAGGCAGCATCACACCTATAATCCACGATACGATGTATCTCAAAGAGAAAACATGGAGAGAAGGGAACCAATGTGCAGTCTGTTTCAAATGATGTGCAAGGTGAAAATAAGTAAAATGCTTTTTTGAGAGCCCTGTCTCCTGGCTCTGAGGAGTAATAGCTATGTGCCAGTACATGTGGCGATGGCTATATACAAAGCTTACTATCAAGATCCATGGGGTAGGTGTACCCCCTTATCCTTTCAGCGCTCAACTCATAGGATTAGGTTTTCCAATTATCCCGCTTTATAGACTTTGGAATTTTTGGGGTATTTCCACACAAGTGTTTTGAGCTGCTGTAACGAATTTATCCTCGATCCTAGCACTTTATTGGACACACATTCCTGCCAAAAGGAGGTACACTTCACTCATTCTTTATGTGGTTTATCTTTGTGACACATATTTGAACACATTTCAGAAAATGCTTAGATGCCTGAAGGCAGGGATGACCAAAAGTAAATCCATAGATTTCGAGGTGCATTACAATATTATAAAGGGTGGCATTTAACAATGGGTGAGACACTTACATGTTACAGAACTAGACATCCTATGATGCTTTGTCAGATGTAAGGCAGGGTTATTGCTACATTTCAAAAATACCTAGGGCTTGAGACCAGAAGAAAATGTTAAAGGGGCACTATAGTCACCAGAACAACTACAGCTTATTGAATTTGTTGTGGTGAGTATAAGCAGTCCTTTCATGATTTTTGCAGTAAACAATGTATTTTCAGAGAAAATGCAGTGTTTACTTTACAGCCTAGTGATAACTCCACTGGCCACTCCTCAGATGGCTGCTAGAGGTGCTTCCTGGGACAGTGCTGCACAGTGTGACTGACATTCAGTGTCTCCCCCTTTGCATGCAGACACTGAACTTTACTCATAGAGATTCATTCATACAATGCATATCTATGAGGAGATTCGGATTGGTCAGTGCTGTTTGGCTTGTGCTGTCTTTGTCCCTAATCAGCCTCCTTGACAAGCTCAGCGACTCCAATGCTTTCCTGTGGGAAAGCATTGTGATTGGCTTTGATCAACATTTTGGTTGATATCAGCCAAGCAGGCAAATCAGGAGCAGAGCCATCAGCAGCAGACTGGAATAAAGGTAAGATTTTACTATAATTAGGGGGAGCAAAGGGGGGACAGATGGTATTTTGTACATTAAAGGGTCAGGATTACATGTTTGTGTTCCTGACCCTATAGCATTCCTTTAAAATGTATCTCCACTCACAGAGTTGTGTTTCTGTGGCATGTTTGTGAAAGTAAAAAAAAATAAAATGGCATCTGTCAATGGGTCGGATATATTAGGCAGCAACATATGAACAGTCATTTCTTGAATTTCATGTGTTGGAAGCAGGAAAAGCATCTCCAGAATTATTTATTTATTTATTTATAAAATCTTTTACAAGGAAAGATACATTGAGATTTCTCTCGTTTTCAAGTATGTCCTGGGTCCACAAATCATTGCATTGTTACAATTAGGATACAATAAAATACAAAAACAATATTACTACACAATATATACAAAAATTAACATAGAACAGGCAGGAAATATATAACCAACCATGACACGTGCATTCTGTTTTGAGGTATGTAGAGAGGGATCTCTTAAATGACTTTAGGCTTAGGGAAGATTTCAAATTGTGCGGGAGGTCGTTCCACAATTGCGGTGCTTTGTAGGAGAAGGAGGATCTTTTTGTATTGAGGTAGACTAAGTAAAGTGCTTGTACTGGATCGGAGCTTATAGAAAGTGGGAACAGCTGAGGAAAGCATTGTGTTCAGGTAGGGTGGGAGTTTCCCAGAAAAGCTCTTAAAAACAAGGCTGGAAAGATGAAGGGTGCGTATGGATTCCAGCGACAGCCAGTTTAGTTCTTTTAGTATGTCACAATGGTGGGTCCTGTAATTACATTGTAGCACAAATCGGCAGAACGAGTTATACAATGTAATGAGTTTATTAATGTGGGATTGCGATGCAGACGCATATACTACATCCCCATAATCAATGATTGGCATCAGCATTTGATGTACAATCTTTTCCTTTACTGTAGGGCTTAGGCAGGCTTTGTTTCTGTACAGGGCACCTAATTTTGGATAAAGTTTAGATGCAAGCTTTTCTATGTGCAGGCCAAAAGATAGATTGGGGTCTAATATCATACCCAAGTATTTGAAAGAGTGGACTGTGGTCAGTGTGCCATTTGAATTTGTTTTGATGGATAGGTGGGAATTGTGTAATTTGTGTAATTTAGGTACTGTTCCAAAGATCATTGTGACAGTTTTGTCAGTGTTCAGAAAGAGTTTGTTTTTTGCGATCCACTTTTCTACCTCTGTAAACTGGTCTTGGAGCACAGCCTCAAGTTGCGGTAGATTAGATTTGCTCGCATAGATTACCGTGTCATCTGCGTACATGTGTACATTTGAGGATTGGCAGACATTATTTTTTTTTTTTAAATTCTTTATTTTTTCATCTTGGCAATGGTAGTCAGGTAACATTAACGTGACGGCTTGTGCAAAAGCCTGATAAATAGTAAACAAGTTCAATTGTATTTATACATGTGCTAATATAATGCATAGACAGTAAGTTATGGTACCGATAAGCTAATTTGGCTACCTGCCAAGGGATTTTCTATTTTTATAAAACTTTGAGTTTGCACAATATACACAACAGGAATGCATATAACTTTGGGGCTTACGCAGAAGCCAACTTGGATATAAGTTTTGAGAACATGGCGTACATCCCCTGATACAACCTTAGCCCTTTCCTCGAATTAAGAAAACCTTGGTACCTGACGGCTACGGAAGGTTTTACATACACTATAAACAAAACAGGTATATATACACATTTAGGCTCACAAGGGAGCCGCAAGGAATTACATAGCTTGTAGATAGGTAATACTCGACCTGGACCTTGCATGCGCTTTCTGCTAGAAAAAACCTTGGGGCCCCCAGTCTATTAGGGTAAGTTATTTTAACCTAGGGCAGACCGATAGGGAAAACGATTAGGCTTTATGTACGTTTATCCCTTCAGTACTCTAGCTACTTCAATCCTCTGACCGTATGATCCTGCTTGAATAAAGAAACGGAAAGCAAAGAATTAAGAAGAATTAGAAAAGGAGAGGAAAAAGATTGGATAGAAAACCCAAGAAAAAGGAAATAGCAAAGAAGGAGGTGGAGGGAGGGCGGGTGGGGGGGGGGCAGTTCAGTTGTGGCGTTAACAGACGTGTCGCTTTACATAAGGATGTGGATATCATGAGTTCATTCCCACTTGTGTGAGGCTCTCAATCTTCGTTCGAACCCAGTATGCTATTGTCCCATGGTTCCCATGTTTTTTGAAATGTCGTAGTGTTCCCTCTCACCCTTGCAGTTAGATCGTCCATGATTCTACACTCTTTGATTCTAGAGATAACCCCTGAGAATTCTGGGCCCTCAGGAGTGAGCCACGCTAACGCTATCGCGCGACGTGCACACAAGGTAATCTTGTGTACTAGTGTCTGTTCCCTCTTTGTCCACCCGTCCACCGATCTATTGAGCAAGTAGATCCACGGATCAAGTTTTAGGGGCCGATCGAAAGTTTGTCTCACCAAATCCTCCACAGATCCCCAAAAACCCCGCAACTTCGGGCATTCCCACCACATGTGGATGTATGATCCTCGGACCCCGCATCCCCTCCAGCAATCATCCGTCTCCAGTTTGTGCATTTTATGTAATTTAATTGGGGTAGTGTACCACCGAAACATAGTTTTCCAAGACTGCTCCTGGAGGGTGACACATATGGAGACTTTTGCGTTCGCCTCCCATATTTCCTGCCACTCTACCCCCTCTAAAACCTCCCCGAGGTCGGTCTCCCATTGGGCCGTATAAGACAAACTTCCCCATTCTCTATTTTCTTCACTGAGATGTGCATATATTAACGTGATCATCCCCTTGGGGGAAACCCCGTCGGAGCATAACTTCTCATAGAAGGTGGGTTTCCCCAGGGCAGCAGTTTTAATATGTTGTTGTTTCGCGTAGTCCCGAATTTGGACAAACCTGAAGAAGTCCGCGGGGGTTAGATGGTTACCCGATTGTAAGTCTGCAAATTGTATAAGCTCCCCGTTTTGATAGAGCTGATGTAGCCGTTGTAGACCCGTTCTTTCTATATTGCGGAAATTTCTGGGGGCCATGCCGGGAGGGAATTCTCTATTGCGGAGGATCGGGGTCAAGGGAGAGGGGGATGACGCCAGCCCATATTTGGTGGTACATTTGTCCCATATCCAAATCGAGTTTAGGATCGCCGGGCACGTGACCCGTATCATCGGTCTGTGTTCTTTGGGAACCCATATTGTAAACTGTGGCACATCTACGCCCACCATCATAGACTCGATGTCTACCCACCTTCTCTCATCTGGCGTGGAGTGCCACATGGCTATCTGCGTCAATTGGGCCGCCATATAGTAGAAGTAAAGATTTGGGAGGCCCAGACCCCCCCTATCCTTTCGTCTGTATAAGATCTGTTTAGAGATTCTGTGTCTCTTATTCTGCCAAATAAAATCTCCTATAGATCTTTGCAGGGGAATCAGTTGTGTCTTTGTGACCCGGATGGGCAGAGCCTGGAAAAGAAACAATATACGTGGAAGAATATTCATCTTTACCGAGTTAATCCTGCCCATCCAGGAAATAGGTTTATCTGTCCACTTGTCGAGGTCTCCCGTCAGTTCCCTGAGCAGCGGAGCATAGTTAGCAGAATATAGACGTCCGGGGTCCGCTGTCAGATTTATCCCTAAGTACTTCAGAGAATCCCTTTCCATTCTTATTTGGTGGGTCTCCTGTAATCTAGCTATGACGTCTTGTGGTAGACAAATCGGGAGGGCGCTGGACTTCTGAATGTTTGCTTTATAACCTGATACCATACCGAATTCCGTTATTACATCCTGTATCGCCATCATTGATTCATGAGGGGTTGTAATGGTCAAAAGGACATCGTCTGCGTATGCCGACACCTTAAACTCTTTGTCTCCCACCCTTACCCCTGCAATGTTCGGATGTCGGCGTATCGCTTGAAGGAAGGGCTCGAGCGCTAAGACAAAAAGAAGGGGAGATAGTGGGCAACCCTGTCTTGTTCCGTTGTACAAATTGAAAGGATGTAGCGGAGCTCCCGATATCTGCACCTGTGTTCTTACGTTGTGGTACATTGCTCTTGTTATTGTGAGGAATTCGTCTGGGAGGCCCAAACTCTTTAAAACTGGAAAGAGGAATTGCCACCTGACCCTATCGAAAGCTTTCTCTGCATCTATGGATACAACTAATGTAGGGGTCTCTGAGGTCACTTGTTTCCAAATCAAGTCAATGTTCCTTCTTGTGTTTTCGAACAATTGCCGACCTTGGATAAAACCCACTTGGTCTGCATGAATTATAGAGTGCAAAAGCGGATTTAATCTATCTGCTTGAATTTTTGCTAAGATCTTAAGATCGTGATTGATCAGCGAGATAGGTCTGTAGTTCTCGGGGTAAAGTGGATCCTTTCCAGGTTTGGGCAACAGTACCATGGTCGCCAGTGACATATCATGGGCTAGTTGACCACCCTGCCGGAGATCGTCAAAAAGACGGGTCAATTGAGGCGTGAGTTCTTCCCTGAATGTTTTATAGTATGTGCCATCGAAACCATCTGGACCTGGTGCTTTGTTGCCTTTCAGGCTCGATATAGCTTTATCTATTTCCTCTTCTGAGATAGGTGCCGCTAAAGTGTTTGCCATCTCCTCATTCAATTTTTTCATTCCTAACCTGTCCAGATATTGCCTTATATACTCCTCCTCGTGCTCCCCGAAGGGACTCCCATCTGGGGTGTGATTATACAGCCGTCGGTAGAAATCCTCGAATATCTTTGCTATCTCCACTGGGTTTGTCCTCGTCATGCCGTCCGGGTGTTTAAGTGCAGTTATGTGGGACCTCCCCTGCCTTGGGCGAAGCGTCCTGGCCAGGAGGGTGTCCATCTTGTTTGCCTTTTCGAAAAAGGTCCTTTTGGACCAGGTCATAGATCTCGCCGTATCATCAAGTAATAAGGTTCGGGTGTCACGTCTGATCGCCTCCAATTGTCTGAGAGTGCCCTCTGTTGGCTCAGTTTGGTGTTTTTGTTCTAGGGATCTCAGTCTTCCTAGTAAAAATTCCAGTTTCTGGTACTTCGTTTTCTTTCTCCTGGTGGCCAGTTTAATTAGGGTCCCCCTGATGACCGCTTTGTGGGCCGCCCATACCGTGCTCGCGTTCACGTCGGGCATGGTGTTGATCTCAAAGTAATCTGCTATTTCTTTCCTAGTTTGTTCCAGGATTATCGGGTCACGAAGCAGGGACGTGTTCAATTTCCATGTCCATGGTGAAGCTACGCATAGGTTGCCTAATGTGATGGAGATATCAGCGTGATCCGACCAAGATATATTACCCACCTGTGACCCTACCGTTCGGGACATTCCCGCAGCGTTGGTTAAGAATAGATCTATCCTAGAATACGTTCCATGGGGAGCTGAATAAAAGGAGTAGTCCTTATCCCCCGGATGGTGAGCTCGCCATATATCTACCAGTCTGGTCTCGGATATGAAGTCTTTAAGAAGGCGATCCTGGCCGCCCCTACCCTGTGATCTAGGAGTACCCCTCCGTGAGCTCCTGTCTGCCGCTGGGCACGGGACCGCATTGAAGTCGCCGCCTAAGAATATCATTCCGTGGGTCATCCCCGAGATTTTCCCTCGTAGCCCTTCCCAGAACCTTGGGTCCGGCTGATTTGGTGCGTATATATTAATCAGATGGATGGGATGTGAGTGTAAGATGCCTGAAACGATAATGTACCGACCGTCCGGGTCTGCTTCATGATGTGTCTCCCGGAAGGGGCAACTGCCTCTAATGAGAATTGCCACCCCGTTACGTTTACAGTGGGACCTAGCCTCATATGAACCAGCATATGTGTGGTCCCTCAACCGAAAAACGGCCTGTTTAGGTAGGTGGGTTTCTTGAACAAAAGCAATGTCCGCTCTCATCCTCTTTAATTCTCGGAACAGGAGTCGACGCTTCTTTGGAGTGTTGAGGCCCTTTGTATTCAGGGAAATTATCTTAATCTCCATCAGGCGGAGCCGTTATGGTGCTATATGTGTTTCTCAAGACCGAGTGCACTACCTGTACCCCAATAGGTCCCTGAAAGAGGACCTCTGCTTGCCCCCCGCATCCACCACCCCTCAGGATAAAGGTAAAGAGTAGGGAAGAAAAGGTAGAAAGTGAAAAAGATATAGAATAATAAGAACTACATCCGGACTCAGTCCGATGAACAGAAATTCTGGTCTTACCATTCGCCAGATTTTTGTGGGGGACATCATCCCTCATTCCAGCCACGGTCAACGTTGGGAGGAAACGATGGGATCTAGCGCTCCTCCGCATAGGCGCCACGTGTATTTCGCTTGGACCTCTATATTAACCGCTAAGGGAGCCGCGCCACCCAGTCTATTGGGGGTATCTTTCCCACCCCCCATGTGTTCTGATGCTGATCGCGGAGCCCTCGCAAAAATACTCCGCCCTGCCTGGGCCCAGTGAGAAAAACAAACTGTCTGGGCTCAAGGCCCTGTGCTATCGGGGTCGCCAACCCTCGTTCATTTCCCTCCTCCCCGCTGCTACACCACTGGGACAAAGGAAGCGCTAAATTCTAATGAAACTATTTACAGATCACATTTTAATAAACGTGTTACGGGCTAGTAGGTTCAGCTCGATCAATACGTAACATACAACGCATTTGGTCCTTGTTTAATATTTTGCCATTTGATAACATTGTTATTTTTCATTATTTTTGCGTTTTTTTTTTTTATTATTTATTTATTTATTTTTTCTCCCCGTTGTCCCTTTCTCCTTCATCCTCCCTCCCCCCCTCTCCCTCTGACCCCTCAATCCCGCTTCTGTCTGTCTATCTCCCATCTACAGGCCCCCCCAACCCCATACCGCCCTCGTACCCGTAAAGAGCCAATCCTTACGTTCAACAGTTTGTTCATGACCCCCGTGGTTGATTGGGTGTTATGGATTGGGGGATTGTACTAAACTATGTGTAAGTATGCATCCAGGGATGCCATATCGTAAGTATCAGACAAGCTAATAACAATGGTGCAGGCAGATCAAACTAAGTACGTTCATTACGGGCCGTATATCGCTTTTTTTCTCTGCCTCGTGAATAAAAATCCCCTGTATCTCATTACAATTGTCCACCTCCAGGACCATATGGCGCAATCGTACATTGGGGAGACAGGTAAAACTCTATTATGTGCCAACACCACATCATTTTCTCCCTGCCGGGGACACCCAAAAAGCCGCCCTACTGTCCGAGTTAATGTTCACCCGTTCGTATGGTCGCCCCCCATGGCCGGGCCTCACACGAGACGGTCATCGGACCTGCCAGAGGGGGCAAGCAGCCGCACAGGGGGACAGCTGATTGTGCCAAAAGGGCCCACAAATGTACACTCCCAGCCTGTATCTCCCTAGCCGAGTGCCCGGGAGAGCCATATTGTATGGAAATGTAGAGGTGCTTATCACCAACGTTAATGGTGCTTATAATGGGGGGTATAGCTATCTAAGACAGGGAATGTGGAATTCTGCCACCACCTTTACTCTGGGAGGGGCTATTGGTGTAGCAATTGCAGGTCTGACCCATCCCGTAGGGGAGACTCTTGATGAGAATTGTGTCGTCTAATAGCAAGCACTCATTTTAGTGCCGCTCGTATACATGTATCTAGAAAGTAGTGAACCACTTTTGACCTTTCTCCTCTCCCTCGTGACCTCCCCCCGTACCGTCCCCCTCTCTCTCTTCCCTTTTTTTTTTCCCCCCGCCCCCCCCTTCCCCTCCCTCTGTTTGAACAATTTTCGATACCATTTAAAAGGATGATATCACCCTCCCGCAACCTCCATTTAACTTTGCATAGATCCGGTGGTCGCACCAGCAGGACAATAGAGCAACACAACAATACACCGAACCTGTCCTGGGGTGTCTAAGACCCTCAATTTGTCCTTCTCAGATGTCTTCACACAAAAAATGGGGGGGGGAAAAAAGTCTATGACCCAGTTCCAAGGACCGGTACACTGGTGCCGTAGGGTGGCCGGGGGCCCCCCCAACTCTGCCCTACCGGCCGAGAGGAAAGGAGACCCTCAATCCTAAGAGCCCCAATGGCCCCGACGGGAGGCCAGGAGATCCTCGGGCATCCCTGTTAAGGGTGGGGATGGGCAGGAGAAAAAAGGGGGAACCACGGGACAAAAACAGGGGTAAAAAGGGGGAGACCAGGGACTGACCCGCCACCCCCTCGTTCCCACCCAAACAATGTGATAATGTGCTTCTGGTGTAACAGGCGTAGTGGGGCGCTGTCAGATCCGCTGAGCTACATAGGGATCCCGGGACTGGCCAAAAACAGGGCGAGAGACATACCTGGTGACCCACCCCAAGCTCCCCATGTACTGCTGAGATCCCGCACCCGCGTCCCCCACCCAACAGAAAATGAAAAACAAGGCCCCATCACCAAAAATAGAGGATTGGCCTGCAGAAACAATCATAACGAGACTCTCTGAATACGATACCGCTATTCGTTAGCGCTGGCTTCTGGGCCCCACTCCACGCCACTCCGTCTGAAGTTGTGGAAGCTCCGCCGGGCCCATCGTCAGATCAGGTAGGTCTGGGGGGGACTGGATTCCCAAGCCCTGGAGTAAGCGCTTCGGATCTCCACCTGGTGACAGGACGTGGGCTCTCCCCTCGCGGAACACCATTAGCTTGAAAGGGAAGCCCCAGGCGTATTTCAGGCCTGCTCCTCGCAGAGCCCCGGTTATGGGCCGCCAGTCTCTCCTCCGTTGTAATGTCGAGGGAGCCAGGTCTTGGAAAAAAGATATTGTGGCTCCGGCGTGCCGGATCGGCCCATCACGGCTCTTTTTCATCAGGGCTTCTTTTGTTTTGAAATAGAGGAATTTTATTATTACGTCCCTCGGGGCGTTGGCTTCGGCCCTCTGCGTTTTCATCACCCTGTGAGCTCTCTCCATGTGCCACTGTTCCTCTGGGATGTGTGGGAGCAGCGGCCTAAAGACTGATGTTAAAAGGCCCTGCAGATCTTCATCCGACCCCTCAGGCAAGCCTCTTATGCGGAGATTGTTTCTCCGAGAACGGTTTGCCATATCTTCCAGGGCTAAATCCATGTCGAGCATATGCATTGTCATGCGATTTATCCGGTCGGCTGCCTCATTGTGGGCCTGAGTTGTCGCTTCCATGCGGTCTTCCAATTTTGCCGTGCGCTCTCCCAGGGCACTTATGTCGGCCTGCAGAACAGCCGTTGACTTGGCTATTTCTCCAGCAAGGAACGATCTCACCTCCGCCAATTTTGCGAGAACAGTGCTTTGTTCCGCGGATAGTGCCTCCTTGTCTACGCCGGGCGACGCATGTGGAGATACTCCGTCGCCATCTTGGCTGTCGGCCCGGCCGTGCCGATGGGCTGTGAGCAGGTCCAGAACTGAGCCACTGGACTCCGCAGTCCTCTTCGCTTGTTTCTTGGGGAGTCTTTTTTCCATCCTGTATAGGTTAGTGGGGGGGAAAATGCCTTAAAAAGGTCGCTTTTGTCTGCTTATGGCGCCGTTGGGTCGGAGCTCCAGTGAAGCACGTCTGGTCTCATCGACAGTCAGACCACGCCCCCGATTGGCAGACATTAGGCAGATCATTTATAAATAATGTAAATAGTAGGGGGCCGAGAATGGAACCCTGGGGAACACCACATGTGACTGGGAGAGGGAGTCACTGTCAGAAATGGACACATATTGCGAGCGATCCGATACATACGATCGAAACCAGTTTAGAGAATGATCACCAATACCTGATTTTTTGAGTTTGTGCAGTAGAATGTCGTGGTCTACTGTGTCAAAGGCCTTAGCAAAATCAAGGAAAATAGCTCCAGTTAGGGCTCCTTGTTCCATGCCAGTTTGGATGTCATTGCAAACTTTTAGGAGGGCAGTTGTAGTGGAGTGATTCTGGCGAAAGCCCGATTGATCAGGGGTCAGATAGTTTAATTGTTGGTAGTACTCACAAAGTTGCGTATGGACACATTTTTCTAAGATTTTTGACAATACCGGGAGCAATGATATTGGGCGATAGTTAGAAACCAAAGTAGTGTCACCACTTTTATGGATAGGCACTACTCTCGCAGTCTTCCAAAGTTTGGGTATGTATCCAGACACCAAGGATTCGTTAATTAGAGTTGAGACGGGTTTAGCAATTGCCGGCGCACTGAGCTTCAACAGCATTGCTGGGATTTGATCAGGTCCGGACTGGTTTTTCATTTTTAGATTATTAAGATGTTTTTTTAATGACACTAACAGGTACAGGTCTAAAAATAAACTTGTCTAGAATGGCAAGTCTTGTGGGTTTTTCCCAGTATGCAGTGGCTAGCACCTAACAAAATGGTGCAAGGAAGGGCAACCTGTGAACCGGCGTCAAGGGATCCCAGGGTTCATTGATGCACATGGGGAGCAATGGGTAGCCCGTCTTGTCTGATCACACAGAAGAGCTACTGTAGCTCAAATTGCTGAAAACCTTAATGCTGGCCATGATAGAACACACAGTGCATTGCAGTTTGCTGCATAACCTCAAACCAGTCAGAGCACCCATGCTGACTTCTATCCACCGCTGAAAGCATTTCCAATGGGGATGTGAGCGTCAGAACTGGGTGATGGAGCAATGGAAGAAGGTTGTCTGGTCTGATGAATTATGTTTTCTTTTAGAGCAGGTGGATGACAGGATGCATGTGCGTTGTTTCCCTGGGGAAGAGATGGTAGCAAGAATCACTATGGAAAGATGTCAGTCCAGTGAAGGCAGTATTATGCTCTAGGCAATGTTCTGCTGGGAAACCTTGTGTCCTGGAATTCATGTGGATGTTAATTTGATATGTACCACCTAAATAGAGATTGTTGTAGAATATATACACTCCTTTATGGAAATGGTGTTCCATGATGGCAGTGGCGTCGTTCAGCAGGATAATCCACCCTGTCACATGGCAAAAATTGTTCAGGAATGCTTTGAGGAACATGAAAAAAGTTCAAGGTATCGCCTTGGCCTCCAAATTCCCCAGATCTCAATCCATGCAACTTGTAGGATCTGCTGCTAATGTCTTGGTGCCAGATACCACAGGAAACATTCAGAGGTCTTGTGGAGTCCATGACTTGACTCATCAGAGCTGGTTTTGCATCACAAGGGGAAGCTACACAATATTAGGCAGTTGGTTTTAGGCAGGGGTTTATTAGTATGCATGTATGGTATGCAGGGATATACATGTGTGTTTGGTGTGCATGTGTATATATGTGTTTATGTTTGGTGTGCTTGGGAATATATGTGTTTATGTTTGGTGTACAGGGGTATAGAAGTGATATTTGGCAGTATCTATCATGTCTTGCTCTTCCATTGCAGTTGGATGTGCACCCACTACCTGCATAACAACAACTGTGTGAATCTCAGCACAACAGGTCTTCAAGAAACCTGTATCTCTCTTAAAATATTATTATGTAGAGCAGACATCATTGTAATATTCCATTATAATGTACTTCGCATTGCTGTGAGACAGTTAATGTCCTTTTACTTAAAAAAAGAAAGAAAAGGTTAATCTCCACAGATACATTTCTGGACATTCTGACAGTGCAGAAAGTACTCATGCAGAGAATCCCTTCTCCAAATGTAGTTTACAGGTTAATATATCTCCACGTACAAAGGTCGATCCTTCTCTCCACAGCAGGGTCGATCACTATGTCTTCGCTGTCAGTAGTAAATAAATGGTGCTTCAAATATATAGAAAATGTGTGTTCTTCATAATGATGTGAGAATTTATACTAAAATATATCCTTCCAGCTCATCTATTTTAGCCTACAATTAGAAACTGCATTATTAAAGTAACAATTTAACAAAAAAATAAACAGCAACATTATATATTCAATGATTGAATTCATTTTAGTTGGGAGCTTCTAGTGGCTGACTGTGAGACTGCAGTTTTGTCATGTGTAGCGGATATTTCAGAAACAGCTGTTTTAATTTGCAAGGTTGTGGGGGGCAGCATCTGTGTCCCAAAATCACCCCATTAAAGGAAACACTCTAAAATTATATATAAATGTATTAAATGTATATATAATATATTGGGCCCCTCTGGGAAAGATAAAAATACAGTTAAACTCACTCACCTTTTATCACTGTCACAGAATCCCAGCTGCAGCCAATCTTCATACTGACACATGATCTTAGGCCAATGTGTTTAGATGCTAACTCTGTAGTTATGTGTTAACGATGGTGAAATTCCTCATGAAAAAAATACCAGTAATACACAGAGATACATTGATTAATAGGGGGTTTGCTCAAATGACCTCCATTTTATATAAATTTACAAAAAGTGGTCAGCATACACAAAAGTAAACAGTCTCAAATCTTTTAAAGGGACACTCCAGTCTCCATAACCAACAGAGCGCACTGTAGTGTGTATTGTACCAGGAGTACCCTGGAACACTATGGGAGTAAATAGTTAAACTGGTTAGGGATGATTTGAAATTGTACCTGGGTCCCAGCAGTGCAGAGCAGCCCTCATTGGCTGAAAGTGGTTGACTAATAAATGTGTCCCTGTGCGTCAGGCTTAGCTCAATGGAGCTAACGGAAGTTCCTTGCAGAAGCAATATGGGAGGCAGAGGCCCATGGAGTTATGAAGCTTAAAGTGTATTGAAATATATTACACGACCTTTACTACCTCATTCCCATCCCATAAGTTGTACAGAGCATTACATTAAAGGGTTGAGGGTCATCCAGTGAGCATCACCATGTAACGTTTCATTAAAACTACTCATTTCAAAAATAAGGCATCAAGTGCATGTTTTTTTCCCTCTAGCAATAAATAGTTATATAAAGAGACAGTCTTTTTTTTTTTTTATAAGAGGACAATCTAACCCAAACATTTGCCAAAACTGCCCACAGAGCCTAAACAGGGGGACAAAGAGAACAATTTATTCCTGCATTAGTACGCGCCTGGGGACATCTGGCGTACCTCTTACACATGTCTATGTCCTCTTCTTCTTTTATCATCTTTTTGATTATGAATTTTATTTCTTTCTGTATTGATCTTCCAGACTTGCTCTGGCCTACACATGCCCTTTATTTCCTGCAAAATATCTGAAACTAGATGTATTCCTGTTTGCTAAGTAAATGAGAGTCTCATCAATTCTTTTTTTCTTTGCAGGACCGATCAGCATGAACACGCATATGACAACCCGACTATCGTAACAGACAACGAACTCACTACCGCAATGTAACGGTTTTGTGTTGCTGATTGGTTGAAATCTATGGCTGAACTGTAAATAAAGGGTCATTGCTGGAGATAGGGCCACAAATTGAAGCCATGAAGAGAAGGTTAAACGTGGAATATAGAGCTAAGCTGTTACATTGTATAAAGCATTCATTGATACAGAAACCTCATTGAACTGTAGACAAAGACGGACATCAAAATGATTGAGTTGTATCTCATTCTAGATTTTAACCCAGGAGCACAATGCTGCATAGGATGTTACCTAACCACAAACTAACCTCCAACAAACCCCAACAGTCCACAAATTAAATGGAAATCTTAATTAGAAGCTAGGAACATTGTGTTATGATAATATAAATCACATCCTACTGTAAATGTTGTAACCATATAACTAGATAAATGAATAAATGATTCTTTGTTATTTCTAAACTGCCAAATTTATTTTTAATTCTTATTCTTTCCTCAGCTCATTTTACAGTAAGGCTTAGGAGTGGACCATGATTTTATTATTGGGTCATTGTTCACGCTCCTAAGTACGATGATGTTTGTTTACTAACATGGCAAATTTTGGTAAGTTTAAAACCAGTTGCCAAAATTTAGGTTGTGCTAAAATTATACATATATTATAGTTTATTTCAAGACGTTTATATATTTTTAAAATGGCTAATTTTAATAAAAAATTGTTTCAATTAACCCGATTAAAACAAGCAGCTATACAACTATACACGTGCAAAGTGTTTTTCAAAAATTTAGATTTTTTTTTTTGTGAGATTAATTTTTACTTGGGATACAAAATCATTTTCTCTTTCAATTACTACATCGGCAACTTCATTGATCCCTTCTTTCGGCGAACCTAATCTGCCCGATCCTTTACTGAATTGTGCAATTCTTTTGCTAAATTGGTGCAGCTCCTCCCATAGTGGCTACATCCTCCATCAAGGCACCCCACTTCTACACAACATCTCTCCAAAAAGATGTATTCTTGTATGAAGCTACAAAGTCACAATATGGATCATTCCAAAATAATGTGTTTAATTAATAACCTACGTGTGTAAATGTTTTGCTAAGCTGTTAACATATTTGCTTGTAACTTTTAATACTCAACTAATGTCAGATATTTTTCTAGTTAAAGCAAAAATGAAGATCAGTAATTAACTAATAACTGTTTCTGTTGGGGTTATTTACTAAACCAGTTATTGTGCAGAAATGACAAACATTCTGCACAAATTAGGCCAAATATAACTCACGATTGATAAATAGACCAGTTAGACTTTTTCCCTTCAGTTCCGATATTTGGGCTTTAAATTTACAATTGCCTTGTTCATCACATTTCCTATTTGACTGGATAACCAAAAGTAAAGACAAATAAGTCAATGGGACCTGATGGAATACACCCAAAGCTATTAAAAGAGCTTAGTGGTGTACTAGCAAAACCGTTAACAGATTTATTTAACCAATCATTGTTAACAGGAGTAGTCCCAGAAGATTGGAAGTTAGCGAATGTTGTGCCCATTTACAAGAAAGGTAATAGGGAGGAGTCGGCAAACTATAGGCCAGTAAGCCTTACTTCAGTAGTGGGGAAGGTGATGGAAACCATGTTAAAGGATAGGATTGATGAACATCTAAAAACACATGGATTTCAAGATCAGAGACAACATGGGTTTACTTCAGGGAGATCATGCCAAACTAATCTTATTGATTTTTTTGATTGGGTAACTAAAACTATAGATCAGGGTGGTGCAGTAGACATTGCTTACCTAGATTTCAGTAAGGCTTTTGACACTGTTGCACATAGAAGGCTTATCAATAAACTGCAATCTTTAAGTTTGGATTCCAATATTGTTGAATGGGTAAGGCAGTGGCTGAGTGACAGGCAACAGAGGGTTGTAGTTAATGGAATATATTCGAAGCTTGGACTTGTCACCAGTGGGGTACCTCAGGGATCTGTACTTGGACCCATTCTCTTTAATATTTTTATTAGTGATATTGCAGAAGGTCTTGATGGTAAGGTATGTCTTTTTGCTGATGATACTAAGATATGTAACAGGGTTGATGTTCCAGGAGGGATAAGCCAAATGGCAAATGATTTAGGTAAACTAGAAAATGGTCAGAATTGTGGCAACTGACATTTAATGTGGATAAGTGCAAGATAATGCATCTTGGACGTAAAAACCCAAGGGCAGAGTACAGAATATTTGATAGAGTCCTAACCTCAACATATGAGGAAAGGGATTTAGGGGTGATTATTTCTGATGACTTAAAGGTAGGCAGACAATGTAATAGAGCAGCAGGAAATACTAGCAGAATGCTTGGTTGTATAGGAGAGGTATTAGCAGTAGAAAGAGGGAAGTGCTCATGCCATTGTACAGAACACTGGTGAGACCTCACTTGGAGTATTGTACACAGTACTGGAGACCGTATCTTCAGAAGGATATTGATACCTTTAGAGAGGGTTCAGAGAAGGGCTACTAAACTGGTTCATGGATTGCGGGATAAAACTTACCAGGAAAGGTTAAAGGATCTTAACATGTATAGCTTGGAGGAAAGACGAGACAGGGGGGATATGATAGAAACATTTAAAATATATAAAGGGAATCAACACAGTAAAGGAGGAGACTATATTTAAAAGAAGAAAAACTACCACAACAAGAGGACATAGTCTTAAATTAGAGGGACAAAAGGTTTAAAAATAATATCAGGAAGTATTACTTTACTGAGAGGGTAGTGGATGCATGGAATAGCCTTCCAGCTGAAGTGGTAGAGGTTAACACAGTAAAGGAGTTTAAGCATGCATGGGATAGGCATAAGGCTATCCCAACTATAAGATAAGGCTAGGGACTAATGAAAGTTTTTAGAAAATTGGGCAGACTAGATGGGCCGAATGGTTCTTATCTGCCGTCACATTCTATGTTTCTATGTAAATTTAAAGGGACACTCCCGGCACCCAGACCACTTCTGCCCATTGGAGTGGTCTGGGTGCCAACTCCCACTACCCTTAACCCCTCAACTGTAATTATTGCAGTTTTTTTATAAACTGCAATAATTACCTTGCAGGGTTAACTCCACCTCTAGTGGCTGTCTACTAGACAGCCATTAGAGGGCACTTCCATGTCTATAGCACAGATTTTCTGTGCTAGAGCGTCGCTGGACGTCCTCACAATGTGTGAGGACCTCCAGCATCGCTCAATTCCCCATAGGAAAGCATTTTCAATGCTTTCCTATGGAGAGCTCTAATGCGCATGCACGGCATTGCCGCACATGCGCGTTAGGTCTCGCGGACGGGATCAGTCTCGCCCACCGGCCGACGTAATGAAGAGGAGGAGCGGCGGCGACCCAAAACCACAACCGAGGGACAACCGGGGATTGGGAGGTGGGAGAGAGAGAGGGGACCTGCAGTGCCAGGAAAACGGATTGTTTTCCTGGCACTGGAGAGTCCCTTTAATTCATGCAAGTAATCCTACTGAATTTAGCAATTCATCATATGTCTTCCTAATAAGAACCCAAAATCTACAATTAAATATTTATTTTTGCATGCTGCCATAAAAAAATGAAAACTATAATAAAAATGTTTTGTTTTGCATTTGCATGATATATAGTGTACTGATACATTTTTAGTTATCCTATTCTTTTAGAAGGAACACTATGATCCAGACTATAGTTATCGCAATGAAGTGGTCTGGGTGCAGTGTTTTTGTCAGTTTAATCCTGTATTGTTTTTAGAAACTGTAGTTGTTTACACTGCAGCGTAAATCCACCCCTAGTGGCTGTCTTCCTCCTGCAGACTCCATAAAACTCGGTCCTGGGATCAAACGCTGCTAAGAGCAGAGTTTGATTAGAGGAGCGTGATGTTTGGCAAAGCGTACCTCCCATCCATTGCTTCTCTATGAGAATCAATGGATTGGAGGAGATCAAGAAGATGCCAGCAGGTGTGCGGATGTCTTCGATTTGGAGTCTGCAGTGGTGGAGTCCTGGCGTTAGAAACAAGGTAAGCAAACGCTATTCATGTACCATGAGCGGAATCCAGAATCACGACCCCGAACCCAACATGTTCAGCATTGAGAGTTTCAGTCGATCCGTGATTCCGGTACATCTCGGCTTGGAGTTCAGGAATTCGACCTATCACCCAAATTCAACCAAATTCAAATATTTTTCTATAAATCTTTCAGCATTTATATCTCTGGCCTGACTAAAAAGTAACATGATCACGACGCTCACTTAAAGGCACACTCTAGGCATCGTAACAATTGCAGCACACATTCGACAGTGATTTGTCAAACCATTCACAAACAGTTTGACATTTGTCTGGGCATTTGTCTGTACTGGGCACATATGGTTCCAGTCTGAATTGGTCTAATAAAGCGATAGTTCATACATCAAGTGCCACGTTTAAACAGTATTAATTGCTGAGTACCTGGGATGAGTTACCATGATAATGCGGAAGTATGAACGTTGCTTTTTTTAGACCAGAAGGACATCGGGTCCCCAAAATAGCAAGGCAATCCTAAACATTCATAAATGGTTAAACAGATTACAGGCAGACAACACCTAGGGATACCTGGCACCATAACCACCACAGTACTAGAGACTTCCTTCTGTGGTATTATTCAGAATATCCCATAAATTCCTATACAGTTTATGGGCACAGTAGGGCTTTCTATGACTTGTAGATTTATTGTCAGCTGACACTGCAGCAAATTAGCAGCTGATCTACACCTCCCAGAATCCTCCGCTGTGCCCATATACAACTCCCAGAATGCTCCGCTGTGTCCATATACAACTCCGCTGTGTCCATATACAACTCCCAGAATCCTCCGCTGTGCCCATATACAACTCCGCTGTGTCCATATACAACTCCCAGAATCCTCCGCTGTGCCCATATACAACTCCCAGAATCCTCCGCTGTGTCCATATACACCTCCCAGAATCCTCCGCTGTGTCTATATACTACACCCAGAATCCTCCGCTGCATTCATATACTACTCCCAGAATCCTCCGCTGCATTCATATACTACTCCCAGAATCCTCCTCTGTGTCCATATACTACTCCCAGAATCCTCCTCTGTGTCCATATACAACTCCCAGAATCCTCCGCTGTGTCTATATACAACTCCCAGAATCCTCCGCTGTGTCTATATACTACTCCCAGAATCCTCCGCTGCATTCATATACTACTCCCAGAATCCTCCTCTGTGTCCATATACAACTCTCAGAATCCTCCGCTGTGTCCATATACAACTCCCAGAATCCTCCGCTGTGTCCATATACACCTCCCAGAATCCTCCTCTGTGTCCATATACAACTCCCAGAATCCTCCTCTGTGCCCATATATAACTCCCAGAATCCTCTGCTGTGTCCATATACAACTCCCATAATCCTCCACTGTGTCCATATACAACTCCCAGAATCCTCCGCTGTGTCCATATACAACTCCCAGAATCTTCTGTGCCCATATACAACTCCCAGAATCCTCCTCTGTGCCCATATACAACTCCCAGAATCCTCCTCTGTGCCCATATACAACTCCCAGAATCCTCAGCTGTGTCCATATACAACTCTCAGCATCCTTAACTGGAGACAGAGAATGATGAGAGCTGCAGTACTTTAGCTGGAGCATATACACTGCAATGAATGTGCTCTGGTTTGGTGCATGTGTGCAGATTACTGCAAGTTTATTTCAATCTTTATAACCAACTGCACAAATACAAACAAACGTCCCTTACTCTTCCTGCTCAAGTTAATGCATTCACATTATCTTTATTATTCTCTCCATGAAAATAAAGTCTTACAGTTTACGCCACTGAACATATTGCCCAACTTTTACTCCAGTCCTGAGCTGTTTACGAAAGAAAACAATGAGCTTTATTATACAAAGTGGCAGCTAAGACATGTTTAGAATGAAACCAAGTATTGTGCAACATAGCGACACCCTAACGGCACAGACTGCTGTGAGTGCCAGAAGCCTTGTGCTTCCAAACAATAAACATAAGGCTTTATTCACTAAACAGTGAGTTTTAGTGAGTTGTCAAATCACCAAATTTAGTCCAAAACAGTATTTAGCGAATAAACATTTCAGATAACCGGGCAGTGTGGATTTATCCATTTATTTTATATAAAATCGCACCATGTTGCCTTATTAGGAGGTGTAACTCAGCAATGTCTGGGCTATGTACCCCTTGTGCTGCTTTCTATAATATCCAGATGTGAACTGGAGGGACTGGGGCTGAACATTACCTACATACTTTTTAGTGTTTTTTGACAATTGGACAAACTGCTTTTTCATTCACTGAGTAACTTAAAGGGACACTGTAGGCACCCAGACCAAAGTCTGGGCTATGGGTCCCTTTTGCACCTAGTGCTGCAATGTTAAACATTGCAGAGAACTAAGTCTTCCCTCCATGGCTGTCTATCAGACAGCCACTAGAGGGTTTCCGGAATCCAAACTGACTTTTGGTCCGTTATCTAAAGCTGGACGTCCTCACGCTCTGCATGAGGACCTCCAGCATCAGATTTTCCCAATAGGAAAGCATTGAATAATGCTTTCATATGGGGAGGTCTAAGTGCATGGCCATTGTCGCGCATGCACGTTCTGTCTCCCCCGTCGGCTGCCATCAGGTAAGAGGCTGAAGGAGTTTTCACCTCTTCAGCCCCGCGGGAGGGGGGGTGAGGGAGGAGGGCACTCCTGGAGCAGTGGCGTCACAAGAGGGGTGCAGGGGGTGCGGAACGCACCAGGGTGCATCATGGGAGGGTGATACCATTGACACCAGGGCCGGCACATCCATAAGGCGGCACAAGAAGCCGCCTTAGGGCGCACCGGCTCGGGGAGGTGCTAGATTGGAGTGACCGGCAGGAGGTGGGCGCACAGCGCATCCTCCTACCAGTCACTCAGTCTATGTAGCGTGGTAGAGCAGTGCGCAACGCAGTACAGAAACTTCTGTTTCCTATACCTGGCTGGACTAAAAGGAAGTGCTCACTGAGAGAGCACTTCCTGTCAGTCTGGCTGGGTACAGAAAAATGAAGCTCCTGTACCGAGGTCTGCTCCGCCCGTCCATGTTACCAGAAAGGTAGGAGACACACCGGGACGGGGGGAAGAAACACTATGGGACAGGAGAGTTTGGGGGGAGGAAAGAACACTATGGGACATGGGAGGGGGGATGAGGAAAGAACACTATGGGACAGGGGAGGGAGGAAGAAACACTATGGGACAGGAGGAGGGAGGAGGAAAAAATACTGGGATGGGGAGGAAGAATACTTTAGGATGGGGAAGAAAGAACACTATGGGACAGGGGAGAGGGAAGGAAAAAACACTTTGGGATGGTGGGGGAGAAAAAGAATACTATTGGACAGGAGGGAGGAGAAAAAAAATACATATGGGATGGGGAGGGAAAGAATACTTTGGGATGGGGGAGAAAGAACACTCTGGGACAGGGGAGGGAGAGGAAAGAACACTATGGGACAGTGGAGGGGGGGAGGAAAGAATACGATGGAGAAAGAAACAGGTGGGGGGACCACTAAAAGAGAAGGGGGAGGAACACTAAGAGGGGAACATTTATGGGAATGGGGGGCACTGAGAGACAGGTAAGGGGGGAAGAGGAAAACACTAATGGACAGGGGAGGAAGAGGAACACTAAGGACAGGGTAGGGAGGGGAGAGGAACACTAAGGGACAGGGGAGGGAGGAGAGAGGAACATTAAGGACAGGGGAGGGAGGAGAGAGGAACACTAAGGGACATGAAGGAGGTTGGGGTGACACCGTGAGTTACCCCACCGCGTGACACCAAAATCTGGTGATGCCACTGTCAAGGAGCCTATAGTGCCAGGAAAACAGGGTTTTTTCCTGGCACAATAGGATCTCTTTAAGTCTGATTATATTATTCTACTGGGCCCAATGTTAACCAGAGGTATTGCTAAGTCCCAAAATACCAGGGGCTTGAGCCTAAAACAAACCTTTAGGAACATCACCCCCCTGCACGCTGTGTATACTGTGTGCAGCCAGGAATAAGCACATGCTGTACAAGCAGTTATTCAGTGCAACCCAGCTACACCGCCTAACTAATAGAGGAGTGTGCATCAAATACATAAATATATAAAAATAATAAAACAAATATATATATATATATATATATATAACAAAAACTCAAAGTAACAGACTAAACAGCCTCTTCTATTCCATGACATATATTACATCACATAACATGGTCATGGGGCCTGTAATCTAGGGGTCCAGCTTGACAATTGGTACAACAGATAAGAAACAAAAACTCATATCGTAAATCGTGATCATATGTGGCTTGCTAAAATGTATCTGAGGCAACGGGTGTAACGGAATCTGATAACCATTAGGCAGAAAACGAAATTTCTTCTGAAAACCCAAAACATGCTACTTTAGAGGGCTTTTTAATTTTCCTTTTTTTGGAAGCTGCGTGGATGTTCTGCTGATGGCTTACTGGCAAACAATGCCATGTAGCTGACAGCACGCTCCCTGTGTGCTGCCAAGTAACTGGTGGCAATCAGCAGAGTGAATCTTCACTATCACTGATACACGGCCATGTATTGTAATCGTACTAGTTAGAGGCTCCTGACAGGAAGGTGGGAATTGTGAAAGTATCTTCTCGCTGAGCCAGACACAGATACTGTGTAAATCTAGCTGTTTTGAGACTGCAGGGGACACAGATAACATCACAGACTGATAATATTACAGTTACGTTGCAGCATTTTGTAACTCAGGCTGATGAAAAGGTACAATGCTGTTTAATGATAAAATGAGTTAACTAACTCAACAGACAAATTAACATAACTGATCTCTGTCAGAATCCAATTCCGGCACACACAGTTATCAAATAAATCAAATGAAAATGCCCTGGTGCCATCTCCGGCAATATATAGAGAAACAGAAAAAAAAATGAGCGCACTCTGCGGACTGTGTGTGATCAGAATTGTATTAAATGCAATTGCAGCAAATTATGTCGATCTTTTTGCGTTTTTCAAGATTTTAGGGCCTTTCTTTTTTTTTAGAATTTTAATTGCACACACCCCAGAGTGCTCTAGTTTTTTGGTCAATCTATCTATCTATCTAATAGTCTGCATGTCTGTCTATATTTGTGTATCGCACGAGAACCAGCCAAGCCACAACCTGGCATAAGGTGTAAATTAACATTATTCCCATGATGCAATGCTTGCACGCTCTGTGAGAGCACATGTGTTTGTTATTATTTTTATTTCTTATTATTGGTATTTATATAGCGCCAACTAATTGCGCAGCACTTTACAATATTCTGAAATGGGGGTATATTAACAATAAATGAGACAACCACATAGTGACACAGGAACAATAGATATGGTAGATATGGACCCTGCTCAAACGAGCTTACAGTCTAGAGGGGTTGGGGTACAAATACACAACAGGGCAGCAAGGGTGACAGCCACCAAAGAAGGAGGAAAAGTAGCAGAGCTGGAGGTGAGAGTGGAGTATAGCTCTTTAGGAGAGCAAGAGACAGATATGGATAGGTGTGGCACTACAAAAAGAACTCTCACGCATGCATACACTACACTAAAGTAGGCCATCTGCCTGTCATAAAATTGGCACTGTCACCCCCACCCCTGCAAAATGAGTATTTCATAAAAGATAGAATCATTATGAAACACTCAGATTGACTGTGTTGGTATTCACTGAAATTCCAGTCAAACCCAGTCAAAATATACACTGAGACAAAGTAATATATCCTTCCTGGTAAAATATTTTAGAAGTAATAAAATAAATATCCTCATATCCCCCCCCCCCCTTATGTTCCCTTCTTAGAGCAGCAAGTATGTGCCAGTACTGCCTGCACAATAATGTCCTCTTGTTAACTACCCACTACATTACTACATTACATTAAACATTACTACAATATACTTTACTATCTCCCCGTTCCTCTTGACTAGTGTCTCTGACTGCCTCTCTGCTGTTTCTAACTGGATGGCTGTCCACTTCCTTAAACTAAACTTGACCAAAACTGAAATGCTGGTCTTTCCTCCCTCAAGTGTTGTTACTCCTGTGTGCTTCCCTCCAAGTCAACGGTGCTACCATCAGCTCCTCCACGTAGGCTCGCTGCCTGGGTGTTCTCTTTGACTCCGACCTCTCCTTCAATCCTAATGTTCAGTCTATCGCCAAATCCTGTTATTTCCATTTCAAAAACATTGCGCACATCCGCCCCTACTTAACTCCAGATGCGACTAAGGTGTTGGTCCATTCCACTGTCCTTTCTCGCCTTGACTACTGTAATCCGCTTCTCAGTGGTCTTACGTGCTCCCAACTTGCGCCGTTACAGTCCATAATGAATGCGGCGGCAAGGCTCATCTTCCTGTCCGCCCGCACCTCCCATGCCTCACCCTTCTGTCAGTCCCTACATTGGCTTCCTATAAAATATAGAGCTCAATTTAAAATTCTGGTTCTTGCTTTCAAATCTCTACATAATGCTGCTCCTACCTATCTATCTCCCTTATACACGAGTATGTTCCGTCTAGGCCCTTACGATCTGCTGAAGACTTATGTCTATCTTCTGTCCGTACTCCCACCTCTGATGCTCGCCTTCAAGATTTCTCGAGGGCTGCACCGTTCCTGTGGAACTCGCTTCCCTCCTCCATTAGATGCTCACCCAGTCTCCACTCCTTCAAAAAAATCGTTAAAAACCCACTTCTTCATAAAAGCGTATCAATTAAACTGTTAATAGCTCCTGACTGATTCCTCTTCTGCAATTGTCACTAGTCTAATACTAACCTCACCTTTTTGTGTCATTTTACCCCACTCCCTCTAGCATGTATGCTAGGCCCTCAACCCCTCTGTTCCTGTGTGTCCAACTTGTCTGGTTAGAACTACATGTCTGTTCGTCCACCCATTGTAAAGCGCTGTGGAATTTGACGGCGCTCTATAAATATCATCATAATAATAATAATAATTACTGCTACACTAAACATTAACCTCTACCTTACAACACTACATTAAATATAAACCCTACACTACACATCACTACCATAAAACATTACTCTTACACTACACCAAACATTAACCTCTACCCTACATCACTACATTAAACATAAACCGTGACTGACAGCTCAGCTCATGGTCTATGCCCGCCCCCTCTCCTCTGCTGACAGGCAGGAGAGAGAAGGCGCACACACAGTGCCTTCTCTCTCCTGCACACGTCAGACGTATTTTAATACGTCTGACGTGTACATGGCCTTTTTAGGGCCATACATGATAGGAAGTCCCTCTGGTGGCCGTCTGAGTGACGGCCACTGGAGGTATTCCTGTCAATCAATGTAAACACTGTATTTTCTCTGAAAATACAGTGTTTACATTAGATTGCCTGCAGGGAGCTATAGATCTCACCTGAACAACTACATTAAGCTGTAGTTGTTCAGGTGACTATAGTGTCCCTTTAAACATAAACCCTACACTACACATCACTACCATAAAACATGACTCCCACACTAAACATTAACCTCTGCCCTACACCACTACATTAAAGATAAACCATACACTACATATCACTACCATAAAACATTACTCTTACACTACACTAAACATTAACTTCTACCCTACACCACTACATTAAACATAAACCCTACACTACGCATCACTACCATGAAACATCAATCCTACACTACACTAAACCTTAACCAACCACATACTTAGGGCAGACTAGATGGGCCGAATGGTTCTTATCTGCCGTCACATTCTATGAACATCACTCCTTCACTATACTTAACATTATCCTCTACACTACTCTAATCATTAACCCCATACACTATACTTTAATCTCTACACTACTGACTCATGTCTTACATGGAAAGCACCCTCTAGGGCTGTCAGGAAGATACGAAGACAGTTTAGGCCTGCAATGAAAACATTGGCATATCAACTAAATGGCTAAAACTAGTTTGAGATGAAGATGTCTGGGTGCTAATAGAGGTTCTTTAACTGAGTGTTCTAACTGAATAGCTTGTTGCCCAAAGACAACTAAATTCAGCTGTAACATAACCTGTTCCCCATCTCATGTACAAACACTGTTTGTGACACTTTCTGCTCCGCGTGTCACCTTGACAATTTGAGCAATTGATCTGACCTGAAAGAGCCAATTATTATAGGTTTGAAGAATTATTTCTTAATTGGATATTGGAATTTTATTTGGATTTGGACATGCAAAATTATAGGAATTGCATTGTACTCTGCTAGATGTAACCGCATGTTATAGTTGCAGAATATTAATATAATTAATTAAAGTGCGAATCATACAGAATTTCTAATTTCTGCACAAAGAAAACTGGACCAGAGATCTCAAAGACTGGGAGAATGTTACTAATTCAGCCATTGTAGCCTAAATTTTGTCAGGGTTATTCACTAAAGTGAGAATTCTCAAGAATTCAAAGTGAATTTAAATTGTGTTTCAGATTTTAGATCAAAGTAGCGAGCATAACTGAGAATGTTTCAAATTTGGCTATTTTGGACCCAAAGGCTTTCAGTTCACTTTGAATTCTTATTTGAAAATCCCTACAAGTACAAGACACAGTGTAGTTGTGAATTAAAGATGTGTATACTTATGGAAGGCAGGATATAGATCGCCACTTAGTTTAGAACTAAAATGTCTTATTTTTATACCATTTTCATCAAGTTCATCCAATTCCTGATGGTGCTGCACATGGCACTTTCGAATGTGAAGATAGTAACTCAAATGTGTTTTTCACTGGGAATTATTGAGAACCAGCATAGAAACAGCAAATACTTCCCCCCCCCCCCCAATATTCTAGGATTTTGGCTACAAACTTACAATTATTTTGCTAATTCTCCACAATTCCAATTTCGCTGGACAAACCTTAATGTAAGCATTCACAACGTTTCATCCAAATTGACATTCTCCAGCAGGTTTACGGTTTTGCAGGGTAAGACAGCAGAAATATTAACTGGATCCAAGTAAACCCAGCAAAAAACATTCATCAGTAATTGCTAATCATGGTGATAGACAGTCTGCCTCTAAACATGAAAAGACTGGCTTATCAGGAAGCCATAAAGTGCTTGTCTTTTGTCTGGGCTCCTGCAGGTAAACAATGATTGCCTCCTATAAAGTGGTGGCTACTGTATTTTTACAAACAGGATAGTGCCAGGATCACCCTGGTCTTGAACTGTCAGCAAAGACACTTATCCAGGTTAAGGTTCATTGCAGACAAATTATGTCCCATCAGATAAATAAATGCAGCACAAGGGGCCTCCTGCTTTAGATATCATAAAAAAGACATCCTCTGCCATTCTAGCTATTGCCGACTACAGTTCTCATCATGCTCAGCTATTTGCTGATGGGAATGTAAGTGGCTGCTGTAAGGGTTCTTGTGCTTGGAATGTGAAGTTCTGGGGCAAAGTTAGAAAAAAAACATGTAACAATCTCCATGGAAACCATGGAATGTTTATGCTATTTGCTCCAGTATTACAACCGGAATCTCTCTGCTGTTTTTGAAGCCAGAGTTTCCTTCAGTGTACAGTAAATTGGGGTCTGGATCATATAATTACCAATACAAATACTTATATAGCACCAACATATACCGCAGCCCTGTTCAATGGGTAAACAAAACAAGCATTTAGTTCACACATAACATGTATGACATATAGGAATAAGCCACAGTAATCTTTTGTCTAGTGTAGTGATGACTGATATTGAGAGTGATATCAGTGAACCTCAATTTCTATTAATATATACACTTCCAAAATGTATCTGATCTCACAGCCTTTCCAATAGGCTTCTCCCTTTATTTCTTTTTGATAATGGTAAAACAGCATAGTCAACGTTTCAACGTTTCAGAGCTTTCCTCACGACAAATAAAAGGCTCATGATACAGAATATACTTATAAATACATTATAGTAACGGACAACAAACATAACCAACCGTGTGCAGGTTTTCGTATCGGCGTGTTCCATTAATAGTGCGCATGCGTAAGGAGTGCATGCCCCCAACGTGACATTAACATGTTTCCATGCATCTCCATCCTCATAGGAACGGCTCGTGTCCATATTGCATAAACCTGGCTTAGAAAAAGGACGATACTTGAAGGATCACTATAGTGTCGGAAAACTAAGCGGTTTTCCTGACACTATAGTGCCCTGAGGGTGGCGCTGGTGATCTCTCCTCCCCCGCCAACGTCAGCTCCCTCTGCCGACGTCAGCGGATCCGAATGCGCATGAAAGCATTTCTCAATGCTTTACTATGGACGCTCTCCGTGATGGAGGCATAATATGCTTCCAGCATCACAGATGAGCCTCTAGTGGCTGTCACTAGAGGCTGGCTTTCTCTGAAACTGCTATGTTTGCATCTGCAGGGTTAAAACCTGAGGGACCTGGCACCCAGACCACTTAATTGAGCTGAAGTGGTCTGGGTGATTATAGTGTCCCTTTAAGTACAACTCATTATATGACCAAAATATAGAATTTCAAGTTACTGAGTTTCCATTACTTATTGTGACTTTTGAGGACACCCAGTCTCTAATTTTTCCCCATAGGAAAGCATTGATTCACTGCTTTCCAATGGGGAGGTCTAGGCATGCAGCATTTGCCGCTCATACGCATTAGTGGCGGCACATCGCGGGACATTGGAGGAGGAATAGCTTCAGCTCAGTGCTGGGAAACATCGGCGCCGGGATCAGGTAAATAAATAAATAAAGGATTTTTAACACTTTATATACTGGTGAGGGCGAGGCAGAGGGGGGCTATGGTGCCAGAAATACAGCTTTGCATTCCTGGCACGTATAGTATCCCTTATGGTTTCTTTTTGCACTAATTTAATATTCTTGGTTAAGCTTTTCAAATGGTTTAATATTTTTGGATAAACAGCTTTTTCCTAAATATTAAAATATCAAAATACATCATATATAAAAATATATCAATATAGCAAAAAAATTCAAAATATGAAAATATATTTTACTTTAAAAAAAAAAATGTAGAATTCTAATACTGTTCTGCGCTGCAGAAAATGTTGGCACCACATTAATGTTAATATTAAAAACAACACGATTTTCTTTGCAGTTTTGTATGTCGCTGCCCTATGTTCCAGGTGTAGGGGGCTTCCACGTGAAATAGCGGCCATGGTTAAATTAGCATGAAGGACCACTGGTAATGGCGTGTGGGAACTCAACGCCTGTTCTAAGAGAAACACGTTTGCTGTATTCTGCATTGTAAACAAACAGAGAGACAGGCAGCCCCACTGCTCCTGTTATCTTTCTATTACACCTGCTGCAACTAAGGAATCAGCTGGAATGTTTTCTATTTTTTTTTTTGCTAGAAAACTGGGTTTTGGGATTATTAATTATTCTCGGGGGGACCCTAATCTTTAACTGGCAAGAGGCATCGCTAACTGTCTGAAACCTCCTCCTGTAGGAGCTCATGATACACCATCTGCATGGATAAACTGCATTATCTGGCCGAGTGCAGCCGCGTGACATGACTGGAGGGGAAGATAATATATTCTGCGATGTGTAGTAACGACATCTTGTGCATGATTATCTGGCTGATATATACCCTTTTACTTAAACTATTTAGCTATCTAAAAACGATGACTCGGGATAAGTGTTTGGGGCCTATTTTGTGACGGTTTACTTTGCATTGCAGTACAAGCACTGTCACTTTAATTCGTGTGCCATGTTTCACGGGGAGTCAAATACTAGACCCCCAATGATTAGCAACTGACAACTCCCATCAACCTTTGCCAGGCACATGCTGCGTTTTTGACAATAAAGGATTATGGGAGATGTAGTTTACTAACAGCTGGGAACTGTTTTTTTACTCTTGCCTTCTTACTTGAAGCGTTTTCATAAAGCCTTTAAGCTTTCATTGGACTACACACCTCATCATTCCCAGCCAGCAGTTAGTAATAGGCTGGTTCACAGTATAGAGGTGTTATGGTTACACAGAACACAAAAACTACACTGTTTACTCAGCTCTGTAAAATGGTAACAGATTGACTAAGCGTAATGGGAATTATAGTCAAAAAACAGCCAGCAAGTAGCAAATTAGACTTGTGAATTCATTTCTGGCCCAATTGCAATTCATCCCAATCTCCATATAGACATAAACTGATCAGCCACAACATTAAACCCACTGACAGGAGAAGTGTATAACATTGATTATATTGTTACAATGATACCTGCCAAGGGGAGGGATATATAAGGCAGCAAGTGAACAGTCAGTTCTTGAATTTCATCATTAGGATCTGAGTGACTATGACATGGACCAAATAGTGATGGCTAGACAACTGGGTCAGAGTATCTCCAAAACGGAAAGTCTTGTTGGGTGTTCCCTTAATGCAGTGGTTATTATATACCAAAAGTGGTGCAAATTAGTGAACTGTCTTCAGGGTCATGGGCGCTCAAGGCTCATTGATGCACAAAGAAAGCAACAGCTAGCCCGTCTGGTCCGATCACACAGAAGAGATATAGTAGCTCAAATGGCTGAAAAACATAATGCTGGCCATGACAGAAAGGTGTCAGAACACACAGTGCATTGCAGTTTGCTGTGTTTGGGGCTGCGTACTCGCTTACCGGTCAAAGTGCCCATGATGACCCTTGTCCATCACCCAAAGTGCCTGGGGAGTGTTAGAACTGGACAGTGCAAAAATGGAAGAAGGTTGCCTTGTCTGATGAATCACGCTTTCTATTAGATCAGATGGTTGGCCAGGGTCGTTTACCTTGGGAAAGATAGCAGCAGGATGAACTATGGGAAGTGGAGTTACACCTCTGGCAGAAGATGGGTTAAACTCAGTATGTGCAGCATTTTATAACAAAACACTGCACTTAAAGATTCCAGGTACAGTGTGGGAAAAAAGTATTTGATCCCTTGCTGATTTTGAACGTTTGAAAACACACTACGCCGCGAAGGATTAAAAACCTGCATCGCCCACAAGGTTCCCCTGCTCAGGAAAGCACACGTACAGGCCCATCTGAAGTTTGACAATGAACATCCAAATGATTTAGAGGATAACTGGGTGAAAGTGTTGTGGTCAAATGAGACCAAAATCTGTGGAGGGAGCTGAAGGTTCGAGTTGCCAAACATAAGCCTCGAAACCTTAAAGAGACACTCCAGGCACCCACTGGCCATTGGAGTGGTCTGGTTGGAAACTCCCACTACCCTTAACCATGCAAGTGTAATTATTGCAGCTTTCATAAACTGCAATAATTACCTTGCAGTGTTAAGTCCTCCTTTAGTCAGTGGTGTATCCTGGTTTTGTGCTGCCCTAGGCAGGACAAACTCAGACGCCCCCTTCCCCCCGCACCACCCCCACCCAACCCTTCCTCCCCGCCCCACCTTCTAAATACACACACACACAGTCGGACACAAACCCACACACACAGTCAGACACAAACACACAGACACACACAGTCAGACACATACACACACACACAGTCAGACACAAACACAGTCAGACACAAACACACACACAGTCACAAACACACACAGTCAGACACAAACACACACACAGTCAGACACAAACACACACACACAGTCAGACACAAACACACACAGTCAGACACAAACACACAGTCAGACACATACACAGATACAAATACAGTCAGACAAAAACACACACACACACAGTCAGACACAAACACACACACACACACAGTCAGACACAAACACGCACACACAGTCAGACACAAACACACACACACAGTCAGACACAAACACACACACACACAGTAAGACACACACACAATCACTCACATTAACTTTTTTTTTTTATTTAAACCCCATCCCCCAACCTTTTTACCTTTGGGGGTGCTGGGGGGGGTCTCTCTCTCCCTGGTGGTCCAGTGGCTGCCGGTCGGGCTGGGCGGCGCTGCCTGCTGTGCGGGCAACTGGCGAGGGAGCACTTCCTCTGAGCGGTCTGCTTAGCTCCCTCGCGCGCCGCAGAGTGAGGCTGGGAGCTGGAAGATGACGTCATATTCCAGCTCCCAGCCTCACTCTGCGGGTGGCGCGTGAGGGAGCTGAGCAGACCGCTCAGAGGAAGTGCTCCCTCGCCAGCCGCCCGCACAGCAGCCAGCACCGACCGCCCGCTCGGCATGTCAGCTGCGAGGCTAACTAGGCATTTGCCCTAGGCATTTGGTCTGGGTGGAAACTCCCACTACCCTTAACCCTGCAAGTGTAATTATTGCAGCTTTCATAAACTGCAATAATTACCTTGCAGGGTTAAGTCCTCCTTTAGTCAGTGGTGTATCCTGGTTTTGTGCTGGAGATTGGCCGGGATGTGTCAGCTGACCGGAGTTCGCGGTGAACCATTCGCCAGAAGTTCGCGGACATCTCTAATTGCAATCTTGCTAAGCCTTTTGTATACACGTTACATTTTAGATATACAGGCTTAGGCTTTTGCCTCGATATGTCTGTTTACTGTATTACTTTGCGAGGTAATTTGAACTGCAAAACAGATACAATTCCCCAAAATGAGACATAGGCCCATCATAACTATCTATTAAAATTCTAACTTTAAAAACTGAAATCCACTGTAGCTTCACTGGATATTGACAAATGCATACATTTGGGGTATTGTTGTACTCCGAATATCTAGCTGAACACACTATGCAATTTTATACAGTAGTATTACACACCAGGTTTAAAAAATATATATTAAAACACCATGTTATATGTGTATATAAAAAACACAACACACTTTTACTACAATATTTAGCAAAGATTGGCAGTTAAATGGCTTTATAAAAATGTCAAAATGCATGTAAGTAGCCTGTGATGTCTACTTTATATATATATATTTTTTTTTTTTTTTGTATGCTAATTTTGTTTTCCATGATGAATATTAACCCCTTAAGGACACAACTTCTGGAATAAAAGGGAATCATGACGGAATATTTCCGTCGTGTCCTTAAGGGGTTAAACTTATAAACATACCAAATTCTAAAACCATTCCACACTGAAATCTTATTTTTCTTCTTGCATTTTGTGATCTGTAACTACCAAAAATAAATGAAATCCTAACCGTATGACGTACTCTGTAAATATAGACAAATAAATGAATTTATTTGGGATTACTTTCCTTTAGCTGCAGTACTTATATACACATTTAAAAAAAAATTCTTTATTATTCACAGTCATTAGAGTTATACACAACAGTTAAAGCAGGAGACGTTTTTATGGTATGAAGAGTAAAATATAACAGTAAACTGGCTAGCATGCATCTACGCCCGAGGTGTGGTTAATGCGTTAACTTAACTCAGAGGCATGTAAGGGCTAGGAGCAATAGATGCCGCTGATATCTGAAACTGGTATCTTGGAATAAACGTTACAGAGGCTATGTTAAGATATGATTAAGCTTGGGAGCCAAGTGCGGGTTATGTATATTGAGGAGGGGGGGCGGTTCAATGGGACTTGTAGGTAACATTCTGTCAGTGAGACAGTATACAAGTGGGGCCTGGTGATGGCACATGCATCTCCCATTCTAAAATAAAAAAATTAAAACATGCTTGACCGTGACATCCGACACTATATAGTAAAGTTCAATAGAACACATGAGGAAATAGTTGAGTACAGAAATAAACTATAAAGAAAGTGGTAAACAAAACACAATAAAAATTCAAGGCACTGGAGAAGGTGAGGACAACCCCCGTTGGGCTGCTGGCACAAACGGTGCAATCTGCTCCAGGTCCCAGCAGGTAGATGTCGCTGGTGAGGGAGTGTTCAGCCACGCAGCTCGCACCATCAAGCCATGTTGTTGGAGGGCATAGGCGATCTCCGAAGCGTCCCCGACCTTCCATGGACCAGTTTCCCTTGAGACAATTAGAACTTGGGGAGAGCCCCAGTTATACGGCACTCTGTTTGTGGCTAGTGCCTGTGTCAGAGGTCTCAGGGATCGTCTCCAGTCCATCGTGGCCTTGGATAAATCCAGGAAAAAGGTGAGAGTATGTTCCTTGAACCGGAGGGGTGACTTAGTGCGGACAGCTGCCATAAAGGCTGTTCGGTCTGTGCCCAGCTGGAAGCGGTGGATTACGTCTCTGTTCCCTGTGCTTCAGTGGAAGGTCCGGCAACACTGTACCAACCATCCAGGGTGATAGATTTAGCTTGTTTAGCTGGGAACAGAATGGTGAGCAATCTCCGTAAAAAGTGCCGGAACTCTGCTGCTGTGATGGTGTCAGGTAGGCCGCGTATTTTAATATTTTTCCAGCACCGCTTATCTTCTAGAACAGCAATGTGATCCTGGTTCTGCGTATGAGACCTCTGTATAGTCAACTATCTAGTTGCTGCTCCAGAGCGGCAATGCGAGTTTCGTGGGTTGCTGTGTTCTGCTCTGTGTTGTGGAGTCGGGCTGAGAGTCCTTTGATTTTCTCGTGGAACTGGCCAATGTCGGCTGTGATATTGAAGCGTAGTTCATCTAGGAGGCTCTGCAGAGTGTCTACAGTCACCGGGGGTTTGTTGACTGGTTTTGGAGTTGAGCGAGGGGTTCTACCCTCTGGTCTCACCCTCTGCTTCTCTTGGTAGGAATCTTTGCTGGACGTGCGGGAGAGTCCATCTGACAGAGGCACCATGACAGGTCTCTACAAAGATTGCGGCCTTCTTAGCAAATCGCCTATGTCGGCTGTCATGTGTGGGCGATCAGGCTTATATTTCTTGCTTCAGCGTCCCATGTCAACAGGTGGGTATCTGCAGCAATTAGTGACAATAACACTTGCATTACCTTGCATTTTTAGTTATATTTGTGAAATCTCACTTGAAGCTCTGGCAATGTGTGACCAGACAATTTGGCTGCTAGCTCCGCCCGCCTTATATACACATTTAATTGCCAAAACTGTGAAAAAAAGTTTTTTTGCATTTTTTTAATGAATGAGAATTTACACATGTATATATCATGTCAAATTAAAGCACTTTTTGCCCTTTTTATAATGTTATAATACGGTGTATTAACTGAGCAGATGGAACAAATGGAAGATGGAAAAAAGACAAAATTGCTTGTGTCCTTAAGTACAAATCAATCAAACTGAACCTTGTTCTTGAGGGGTTAAGCACTATTTGTTTACTAAAGTTTTTTTTTAAGAGATAAATCTTGGAATGAATGCTCAATAATTTAAATGTGTAGAAAGAGAGGAATGATGAGAAAGAGGGACAACTGCGCCCTCTGGTGGCTAAAAGAGCAGATACACTACAAGATACACTATAGATGTTTTATTTTATTTTTTGTTTGCTTTTCTTTTTCAACGTAACAATTGGAAAATGCACATGGAAAAAAACAACATTTCTTTAATAAACTGCAAATCTGTAAGAACTGGCAAGGGACCTGTCTAGACTACAAGTTAAAATCAATGCAGTTGGGGAATTTATCGAGAGTGGCTGTTTTATGAATCAACACTGAGTTTTTGAGATCCTATCTAATATCGTCTCACATTCTCTCTGTCTCCTTAATTGTTCTTAAACTAAAGAGTACAATAAACACAGAATTCTCCTAAGCTACTTGTCTCACTTCCTGTTATATTGTTAAGGCTTTGAGATATCAGGCCATCTTTACAAGCATTTTTTATTAAAAAGGGCTAAAAAAACAGGGTTATTAACTAAAGGCGATAATATAGGGTGAATTCAAAATTTAAGGCCAAAGTAGCGGAATTGGAAGCATGAAAGACGTGGATCATTTTCACAGGGTTTGGCTATTTTGGTCTTAAATTTGAAACTCACTTTGAATGGCCAACATTTCTCTCTGAATAACCAGGATAGCACACGTGCCTTTTCTGTCGCACCGTGTCCCATTATATATTGCATGATAGCTCAGAATCTCCCCTTTAATAGTGTTTGTGTCTATTGGGAATCCAATAAGAGATTCACTGCTTTCTACTAAACTTACTTTTTTTTTTTACAGAGAAAATAATGTCCGGTAATTTAAATTAATATAAAGTAAGAGGGAGAGACAGAGAGTGAGAGAGAGAGAGACTGCTCTGCTAAAACAATACATGAACTGCAAAATGCACCATAAATGTGTTTGGAGTGCTACAATCAGGAGGTGCACAGGAGCACATGGATAATTTTTTAAAAGGGGCAGTGGTACAATAAGAACACAGACTGATCTCCGTCACTGATTTTTCATGCCACACGTTCTTACTGTATTTATAAATCTGAAGCATTAGATATTTATCATATTTCACAGAGATACAGTATATAAAACAGCAAGCCACAGCCACCACCATCAATGTTTACAGTTATGTAACTATGTAAGGGGTCTGAACAGAGAAGGATTAAGATCTCACCGGACTCAAAACAGCTGGTTGGTTCCTCCAACTTCATTCTTCATATAGGGAGGGCCAAGCAAGTTCATGGTTCCTGTCTATCTGCTGGGCCCTAGGCAGTTGTCTAAGGCAATCTTATGGTATATCCTGTCTAATCCTGTCTAATTTTATGGTATATCCTGTGTGAACACATGCACAGGGAGGTTTAGTTACATTGTCACTTGTATTGCTACGCAAAGTGTCAGAAATAACCAATTATTTCAGCAATGGCGGAACTAATGGTGTTGGGAATTATGGTCTGACCTGTCTAATTGGGTCATGTATTTAATGGTGAGTGCACTCTGTTTTTGTAAGGACATGCATTGATAAAGGGGATAACCCGAAACATTTGTACCTTATGTCCTTGTAAATAAATCTTTTGGTAGCACTTGGTGTGCACATTTTTCAATTGTTTGCGCTACCCTGGTTTTTTCTATTTTTGTGGATTACTTTACGCTGCTTGGAGCTGCAGAGGGAGGTGTCAACAGCACATTAGGAAACGTTTGCAGTAACCCTTACCTCAACTGTATACTGGCGGAATAATATAGAGAGGGCCCTTGTGCAATTTTTTGGGGTTCCCCTCTATGCCAGCAGGGGACCTACCATTTGCCCATCATAGCATGGTTGTGTTTGTGGGCAGTGTTTGTGCATTTGAATTTAATCATGTTTTTGTATGGAGTATGTGTGTGCATGTAGGGGTGTATTTGTATGTACCGTTGTCATTGGAATGTAGAGGTGTACTTTTGTGTGTAGTTTTGGTGTTTGAATGAAGTGGTGTTTGTATATAATTTTGGCATTTTAATACAGGGATGTGTTTGTTTGTTTGTAATGTTTGTGTTTAAATGCATTGGTGTGTTTGTAGTTACTGTTGGCTTTTAAATGTGGGTGTACACTTGTGTGCAGTATTGGTATTTGAATGATGGCTTATATTTGTATATAATTTTGGTGTTTGACTGCAAGGGTGTATTTGCATTGAATTGCAAGGGTGTGTTTGCATGTAGTGTTAGTGTTTGAGTGCTGCGTTGTATGCACATATAAACTATATTTTATACATATTATACATACATAATTACTTAGATACACATACACCGACACATTGACGCATACACACACACACATATATACACACACTGACACACAGATACACACATATAAATACACTGACACACAGATACACACAGACAGATACACACATATATACACACATGTCATTATTCTTATATTTTTAGCCAGACCCCTGTTAACATACCTTTATTTGCAGGAGGGTGACTTCCCTTGGGTCCTGCTGCTGGCCAAGGTTGATGGGAGTGTGCGGCTGGAGCCACTATCTTCTTCCTTTGTCTGTGCCTCCTGTGCGTATTCTGTATCTGTGAGTGTGTATGTGCCAGTGTGTGTATCTATGTGTGTGTCAATGTGTTTATATGTGTGTATCTGCAATCCCATCCCCTCACTGCTGCCAATATCACTATATTATTGTACATGGGCCACCCGAGAGGCCCCATGCGTGAGGGCCCCATTGCAGCCACACTGATGCAATTCACCCAGGACTACCGGTGTTCCTCAGTAAGCACTCAGTTTTTTATCTTCCATTACAGACAAATAATACACGAGTAATGACATAAATGATTGCTGCAATATTCTCTGGAAAACAAGGCACAGCCATCTCATGCATACAGCCCTTGTTTGAACACAGGTCTAATCATCCTGAAAATCTCTATTTAAAGGAACACTAAGTGGCCTGGGTCAATGGTCCTTCAGTTTTAACCGTGCCATGTTTACAGAGGGTGAAATCCACCTCTAGTAGTTATTATACTGATAGTCTCTAGAGAAGCTTCTACTGACTTAGTAAAACGCGGTCACATGACACAGAAGCTCATAGAAAAGCATTGAATTCAGTGAAGCATGTGAATGCACGTGGGGTACTTGACGTGCATGCGCATCAGCTTCCAATTGATTTGTCATAGACTCGAGAGGCAGATGGCATCACAGGAGTCTGGCTGGCAGCACCAAAGGAGTCTCAGCATCGGAGTAAAGGGAAGTAAAAAAAATAGGGCACCATAGTGTTAAAAATACAGGTTTGTATCCCTAACGCTATAGGGCAGACTAGATGGGCCGAATGGTTCTTATCTGCCGTCACATTCTATGTTTCTATAGTGTTCCAGCAATGCTGAAGAGTTAAAGGGTTCATTCATTTAGTAGGGAGTTGTTTTAACACTGAATTTAAAGATAGGTCAACATAACTAATGTCACCACAACTGTCGGTATAAAACCACGACTTTGGATTTCATCTTGATGATAAAATAAGAGTAGGAGATAATATTGCTAAACAAAGGCTAAGCATATTTTAAAATACATTGTATCAACTTGCCTAAGGCCATAAGCTAGTCAGTATACAGTAACTGATGTAGAAGAGGTGACAAACTGTACGCAGTGTATCTATCGCCTAGCAGGTCAGTGTTTTTTCTTTACTGTATTCATATTCAGCTTTTTATAAATCTACCTAGAAATATATTGCTTTGTGCTGCCACCTGCTGGTACAACACAGTTTGGTAAAAGTAAAAAAAAGAAATAGGATTTTCCTAATATAATGTATTTACACTGCAGCTTGCGATTCTGGGTAGCTCTGTGTAAATCCAGGCTCAGCAGGTTAGTTTAAGCCTCTGTACCTATTTTATACAAGTAGGCCACCAGCATATGTACTGTGCACAAAAACTTTGAATCATGGCACGGCACCCCAATGTTAATAGGAATAATTTGTTAATTGGTGCTGTCAATAAAGCATTTTCATAGCTGCGTAATGTTGTTTTAACCACTCATAGCAGATATAATATTTTGGTCAGGCAGTGCTAGCAGTGAAAGGTCATAGCTATTGGCATTGTATCAGCGCCTAGTAAATTATAAAATAGGTATGCAATAAAGATGGGTACATAAAATATAAAAACCATAACAATAAGGGAATAATGCTGGGCTTAGAAGCAGTCTGATGAGGGCCTCTCACAGCACAGCTGCAGTACTACTCTTAGGTCGCCGAGCCTCCAACTGTCTTCCCAAGACCGACCACAGCCCACTGTCCGAGCCCTCCGTGGCACTGTGGGCACTCAGGAGCAGAAACTGTCCACTTGACCCCCACACCTAGAGTCCGCGGGCCGTCCGCTACCTGCACCTCCCCAGCACCACCCATGACTCTGTGAAAGTGTGCCCCAATGTCTCTCCCGGTGCCGGCCACATACTTGGGACCGGTGCCCATCACTCCCGACCACCGGTCCGCCGGAAGGACT